CAGTTAGGGTTTACATGCACCGTGAAAGTTTGGCAAAGCTTTAAACCTATTCTGAAGATGTCTGTAATTTATTCTATTCTAAGGCTTGGTCAGTCAGGGAAAGGTACTGGCAAAAAGAATTAGTTCGCATCAGAATTTCTTTAAATAATCCTCTTTTTTTTTCTTGGTCGGAATTTTACAGGGTTGATAGCATGGAAGAAAGGTTTTGTTTTCCTTGGTTGGATCCGAAAATAAGGATTGGTTGGTTAGAACTGTACAATTGCCTACAATTACAAATGCTCAGAGCAATTAGCCTCTCTACATTTTGGTCAAAATGTTTCAATTAATTGAAATTAAATTTGATTCAGTAAAATACTGTGTGCTTGCAGTTATTTACTCATATACTGTTTTCAAGATGTGTGCTAGTTCACCCTCATATAATTTTCATGTTGTAATTATCATCACCATCATTTAAAGCACAATACACTTTCCCTCCATAGCGGCAGCAAAGGGCAGAGGTCGGGGTAATGAAGGAGGCAGAGGTCGTGGCAACGTCTTCCAACGGAGAAAGTGAAAATGAACAGACTCTGCCTAGCTGATGCTGTAAATAGTGTATTTGATACCTACCTGCGTACATCCGAGCCTAGAGCCTCAGAGATACAGTACTGCTGGAATATTGGTGATCAACGCATCCTTGGAAACCCCCTGGAGTGAAGAGCAGGTTCTGCGGTTCACCTGGCAGTGTACAGTGTCATTGAATGCAGCGAGTTGGACTTACGGAGAGTAAACATTCCTTGAAATTTATCGTGGGCTGCCTTGGAAACAAATAAACATAAAAATGCACTTACCTTGAGCCTTGCATAGATGCTCAAAAATATATTGGAAGTTGCTTCAACCCTAACCCTAATCATCTCCAACCACATGGAATTAAACAGCAGTAAAGTGTTTAATTCTGTGGGGATAGGCCCGGTAGGCCCATAACAGCTGGCTTTTGCATTGGGTTTGGCATACCTCAGAAAAACAAAGTCCAACAGCCTCTGTGCACAAAGTCCCATATGGGTGTTTAACTTTGTGTGAATGGGGAAGGTTAGGGCCAGCAACCCTTGGGGGGTTAGGACTAATGAATAGTGAACACCTTGCAAAGAATTTGTTGACCCTGAACCCTAGCCACAGTTTTGTATTGTTCAATGAAAACCAAGGTCCTATGCACTGTTGAGAAAAATCCAAAATGTTAAAACAGTTTTCCTGTAAGTAGCCTATTCCTGACTTTCTATGACAAATTCGATTGTCACAGTTCCAACCGTTTCGTATCATTTCCGCTATGTGAAAGGTTGTAACTGTGTAGGCAAAAATATGGAGGTTAATATTTTAACCCAAAGTCCCTTACCATTTTTCCTTGGAATCTTGTGAGGTTTTCAAAGTTTTTACCTGTACTGGAAACTAGAAGTCGGTTGTTTTCAAGATGTCAAAGATCATCAAATCCAGTGTAAATATTTTATGGGCTCTCCTTCAAGTCTGCTAAATCCTTCCAAACCTCCCACAGCATCTTGAAGATCGTTGACTTGAAAAGTTTCAGGACTCGTGAAATGGTGCTGTGGAGTGAACACCTTTGTGGTTCAGTAGTTACACTTCATTAATGAGACTTGAAGGTACTGTGCAGTGGGCCTGCTGTACCCAATCAAACAAAATCACACAGGTAAAGACCTATAGGAGTTTGTGTGATTGGGCACTGTTGCAGCAAGAGTACTGTTGGAGTCTGTAATTGGGCACTGTAAAGATAGGAGTTTGATTTCCAAAGTGTTGGAGTTTGTGTGATTAGGGAGGGTTACCACCAGCAGCCCATGGGTAGTTCTGGCTATTCAGTGTTTACTGATGCCAGGCCAGAACCACAGACTATTAGGAATGTAGAATGTGAAACTTTTTTGTATTACATTTCTATCATGTTTTCTTTAAATGGTAGGTTAAAGTTCATAGTCTTAATAACATTGAAACTTGTTTTTAAATGTGACGTTCAGATGTTTGTTTTAAATGTTTTCAATTGAGTGAGAGGCAGCGTGGCATTTTGTGATCTTCGTTATTTGCAAACTGTTCAGTAGTCGTGCAAGTTGCAATCAAATTCCAGTTCAAAGAGATGAACCACTACGTAAGACTCCTTGTGAACCAAGTAACACTCCATCTTTATTAATAGCAATTGAGACACCATGTTTTACATGATTATATATTTGTTAACACCCCTTCTGCTTTAACCATCAAAAAGTCAAAAATTTCTTCCACTTGATTTGCCTCAGTACACAGACACATATGGGAAATACATGTATGACTGACTTTGACTGATATGACAACTGTGTCAAGAATGTGTCTTTGCATAGGAGGGTTCAAAGTCACTAAGTAACAAAGCAAAGACCTGCGATTCTGCTTGCAATTATTTCTTTTCAGATATTTTAATCAGTCAAGCCCCATCAGTTATCAATGACCTGGAATATGATCATGATTGTGTAAACTCACAAACCCAATTAACCTTATGAATACTCTTGCAACAGGTACTAAAACAAGACCATAAACCATACAAGACTAAACAAAACTGGAAATACAATAGTTGTTCTAATACTTAAAAAAAATTAAGTTGTGAAAAAAAAGCACTCCAGAAGTTAAAAAAAAAGAAAATAACCCTTCATTACCTCATAAAAGCTTTTCCCAGTATACGTGTATAGTACATGTACATGAAAATCTTCAAAAAAGCATTCTGTATCAACTTTACATGGACACATGTTGGGATAAAATGAGCAATCACAACTTCATCCAGATTTGATGTTAAACTTACACATTTCATATTTTAGCCAGAATGTTACATGTGTGTATTTATTGCAGTGTTTTTGTTCCACTCTGTTTACGTTTACCTGCATTCCTATTTCATGCATTTATAAAACAACGTTCAAGATACTGTGAAAGTAATGGCCCATTACATGCATATACATGTACTGTACATGTACATTTATCCACAGAGTCTGTATCAATTCAAGCTGCGCTGAATTGTAAGTAAATAAGTTAGTAAAGAAAATATCCCGTTTCGCCTGAGCCAGTGCTAAACTTTCGTGTTTTAAAATAATGTGTGTAAAATCAGCAATTGCAGGGCTAAATATGTTACGAATGAGCATAGGCCTATATATAAAACTTCCAGTGCCTGGGGAACCACAGACAAAAGGCTGACACTGCAGTTGGGTTTTTAGGTACGTGTACTGTAGTACACTAAGACGGCCATCTTGGAAGAAAGTTCTTCTAGTTCCCTGGACGTTTTTCAAAATGGCTGTTCCGTTGGTCTGATGAGGATATCATGCACCTGTGTGGAGAAATACAGTAATTACATGTATTCCGATGCTACTTCAATCAGCCAAACTAAATTAGAGTGGCACACTTGATTGTGGCACACTTGATTTCCAATAGAAATATGCAGTGATTCGATTTTTATTTAACACTTAACATTGATGATGGCGCCAAGAACATTTTGACAAGACGGTTATGAACATACCTGAACATGGGGTGGAACTTGCAGTATGTAGAGCATATTGTCAGCGATATCCTCTGCTGTCAAGACCTATCATCCACACACAAAGAAAAATCCAGTTGAACATATCTAAAAATGATTGGCTGAGGCTGGCGAATATGACAATGGGAGCCTCCATTTTCCATGGAGGTGTGTTTAGTTGCCAGCTGCAGTGATATCGGATGCGGTACAGGAACTCTGCCGTAGCTTACATGGTCACCATTACAGGGCTGAAACTTCCCGATATTATAGTGGCTGTAGCATGAAATTCCTCTCCAAACAACGTTTTTGGAGATTGAAAAAAAAAACATTTAGTAGAAATGTACATGTATCTGGTCTGTTTCAAATCAAGGGGGCATGGTAAAATGTATTACATTTATAGGTACGTGTACGAAACTCTACAGTGGAAAACATGTCCCCCCACAGCTTAGGAAGGGGAAAGGGTTGTAACAAAGTAATTGCTACTCCAAAAAAAAACCTCTGTGAGCACATAGATGACTGATTCATACTGCATGGCTTTTCAAAAGAGCTCACATAATCGACATCTTTTGTGGATTAGAAAATGGGTTAAAGAACACTGTTTTCCATCTTCAAAACTGCCTCTGGACAGTGGTGCACATTTAAAGAATTGGGTTTACCTCAAGTGATTTGTACGTCATAGCACGTGTCATTTCAGGATCACCACTGGCATACATGCGCACTTGAAATCTTGTTTCTACTAACCCAGGAGAGACTTGCTGTAAAAAGTCCAAAAGTAAGGATTACATTCAGTATAAGCTTTATCTCCAGTAGAGAAGTCGATTTTCAAAATCTGACAGCTTCTTAAGGATCAAGTTAAACTCTTACTGCAATTCTAATGTGATTCTTCTTGGCCCTCAATTCCCGTCGGATACCCTCCACCAAAGCAGTCACAGCGTGCTTGGTGGCGGCATAAAAATGGGTTTCCATCGAGGTCAATCGGTGGCCAGACATGCTGCAGATGAAGAAAACAAATCTGACATTCACGCAGGGAAGTTTCTCAAGTGCAGATGATCATGTGCCACAAGCATTTACCGAAATTTTCAAGAATCTAAAAGAAAATGTGAATTACATTTTATATTAAACTGCGAAATTTCTTAAGGTTCAAGAGAACAAAGAATTTCATGAAGGAATCCCGCGACAGAAAACCAGTACGGCTTAAAAAACGTGAAATATCACGATCTGATTTCAAACAAATCCACCTGAACTTAACACCCCCTACTCTTTGCCAGTGTCCAATCTACCTGTTGGTCACTAGCAGCTGACCATCCATTGCCCCTTTCTCCTCCATTTGTTTTACAGCCTCTCGGCAGCATATGGCCACAGCTAAAACATTGACCTGTAGTAGTCACACAAGAAAAAACTCGGATAGAGTGCACATGATCCCCACACAGATTCTGACCGTGCTTGTTTTCAGAAATTTAACTGTATAATAATGGCTACTTGAACATCACAACCAAGGAGAGACAACTAGTTCTCCGAACAGGAGAGCTATCAATCCGCTCCGAGCAGGAATAAAAGAGGGCGAGTTTTGAAATAAAATTGACCGTCAGTTGGTGTGCACTCACCGCATAGGTACGCTAGTATTATGTGCGTTCAACGCGGAGCACGCTGAGTACGCACAACGAATTTAGTCTGCAAGAACCTGGTTGGAAAACAGTACTGTCTTTCGCAAGTGAGAGGGTGCACTTCAGCTCGGGGCGGATCACAGACGACATAACCGCATAGACCACCAGATCCTATTCAAAACTACTGGGGTTTTCGTGATCTGCGCAGCGCTCGACTAAACATTTCAAAATTATGGGTAAATTCACCCCTCGGTTTAGGGAATTTTCATACGCACAGTTGAAGAATTCTAGCCATGAAGTTCTATGAAGTCATTTTTTGATTGCAAAAAAAAAAATCCTTTAGTTACTTAATCTGGCCATTTAATCTGGGGATTCAAAACGATGCGGTTGCAACATTTTGAAAAGAAGTGATAGCAGTACCGAAGAGCAAAAAGTTGTATTTTGGGAGCATAATTATATAAACAAATATCCGGTTCGTAAGTGTGACGTCACTTCAGTTTTTTATGTATGCGAGGCGGATAGGCCGATCCCAACCTCTACACCATATACGAAATGACACTATACGAAATGACACTGACTGGCCATTCAGGATGAATATTGTGACGTGACAGAGGGCGCTAGGCACGGTACAAAGTTATTGATGGCGCTCTGCCCAGTATATAACAGAGGCAGATGTTACACGCGCATAGCTGTGTGTTAAGCGAGCGCTAGCGCCGCGCATAGGCTCCGCCTTGTGCGTAGTGCGATAGGGCAACGAAAGTCACTGCTTGGTCACGTGGGCGTGGTCACAGCAGCACGAAGGCTATAAAAGGTATGCACAACTAGACTAGGCAAAGTTTCGTCGTCTTGATATCAAGGGCTGATCCCAGGGTCAAGAATCCTGTGCAAGGGTTAAAGTCACCTAGCCTAGTGTGACTGTGCCTAAGTCCCGAGTGGTGCGTGTGTCGTTGCGGCGCTCGGTAGGTTTAGGGGCTAATTGGTGGTGTGGTATAGCTCCTGATAGGAGCTTGCGGCCGATGCTAGGGCGGATTGCTATCTTGTGACGTGACGTGAGTTGCGTGTAGCGCAGCCCTAAGCCCCGTAGACTTGCTAAAGTCCCTGATTCGGCACTGGATGCCCACAATTAATTGCGGTGTTCGCTGCTCTGGGCGAAGTCCGGTCCCGCATAATTAATCACACAGTCTCCCCGTCAATAGCGCCCTCTGCTGGTACATTGGTTGCGCGCGTTGATGAATAAACCAGCCGCTTATTAATTGTTGTATATAAGTCAGGTGTCCAGGCGGAGATTATTTCAAGTCAGGTTTGTCCGGGTTACGTCATTAAGTTTCGACCAATCAAATTAGCCATCGTCTCGGAGAAGACCAACTTTCTTGGGGGACGGCATACTTGGGTCCCACCGGACTCGTCCCTAGCCGCTCAGGGACTCTCCGGCGTGCCATCCGACGCGCCGCGCCTCGAGGAGGAGGGCGCCCTCACCTTCGTCGGAGGGGCGCGGCGCCACAATATACATAAAGGTAAAAGAATCGAACGCGTATTTCATAAGATACACATTCGCACCCACATATTCTCCTGCACGTCACGCACGCGTACATTTGTGTCGCGCGTAAACACACTGGGTGCGTTCGATTAGCTTCCCTGAAAACACCAGTGTTACACTCAAGGAAAGCCTCAAAATGAGGCTTATCGAACGCTGCAGCGTGTTTTCCAAGGCATTCTGGGAAAAAGGTCAAGTCCCCGCCTCGTTTCATCATGTACGTTCATGCTCGAACAGTCCATCCGTGACGTCATTACACTCGGGCAGCCTCCAGAGACCCGCTCGCCAGCTGGGGTAGTGGTGGCTGACACCCGGGGCAGGCACGAACGTCACGTGATGGCTAAACGAACGCTCTCGTGTAAGTTTGACTTACACGTGTAAGCTAATCGAACGAACCCATTGACTAAAGGCCTAATTTAAATACGACGACGCGCAATGTACGACGGGCGATGCACGACGGAAAATGGCATATTTGGAACTGGTAAATAGCAGAATTGGGACACAACAAAAAGCAAAATGCGACGGACGACGGCAGATATATGGAATTCCATAGCGCAATACATGTTAATGAGCTATACTATCTTTGGTCTCAATATGTGTTCAAAGCATTAACGAAGACGTCACAGAGATCCCAACTTGAGTCAAGTCTAATGCCCAAAATGCGTGCTCAAAAGTCCGACACATGCGCGTACGCGTGTACGACGTGCGCGGCTGGAACCCACACTGTGGCACACTGGAAAGAAGCACGAAGTGGGTGCCCACGTGTACACAGGGAGGGGCTTACTGGATCGGACTCTCGCGAAAAGGACCGTCAGTAATTTAATTCCACAAATTAAAGAATTCCTATAGTGGCTACACGCAACATCTGAATGATCCAGTAGGACTTACGTCCAGCATGTCTCGCCACTTGGCCGTCTCTCCATTCAGTATGCCCATTCTTGAATTTATTGAACCGGAATGACTTAGTCCTGCGTTGCTGATACAGACGTCTACACCACCAAACTTCTCCTTGATCTCAGCAAACATTGCCAGGATTTCGTCCTCTTGCGTCAAATCGCATTTGATTGCATGCAGGGAGCCAGTGACAGTGCTGTCTTCTAATAACGCCTTAGCGTCCTCCTGGAAAGTTCGAAAATTAACAGAAAAGTGGCCAATTTGTTTAAGAAACTGATAGATCTGCAGAAAACTGGAAACAAGCAACAGTTTCCGTCTGATTGACGGATGATGCATGTACTCGGACTGCTATTGTCCATGCATGCTGAAAACATAACTCTAAATTACAAATAATTAGGCTCGTCTCTTGGCTAACCTAAACTGGAATTCATGGTGGCAGAAGATCTTGGCATGTTCAAGAGGGGAAGCATATTATGCAGAAGACCCAAGGGGTTATCCACTGAATGCTTAATTAGTGCACAAACTTCATGCAGTTTTTGAAAAGCAGCCATGCGTCATCCCCTCCTGACCTCAATTGGTTTGATGTTCCTGCCACAGCCGACCACTTTCATGCCGTGTTTGGCAAGAGCCCTCGCGGTGGATTGACCAATCCCTGAAGAGGCACCTGTTACCAAGGCAACACGTCCCTTCCATCTCAGCATGCCCTCTTTGCTGGCCATGGTGATAAAACGGTTCTGAGACGGTAGAGAAAAATTGTTTAAATGATGTAAATACTCTTAAGTGGTATGAACTCCTTTTGCAACTGTTGCAACGTAACCAGTGCCCTTTTCTTACACAGAGAACGCACATCAACAGGTGTCTTCAAGTTACAACACTTGAGAATAATAAAAAAAGGCTCATTTCTGTTTAATTTCTGAACACGTCGTTTATTGCACCACGATCTGACCTATCTCAGTTTCTGACATTTCGAAAAAAAACGCGTCTAAAGTTGGGGTTCGTTTTGAATCTTTCATTTCCCCCTCAATGCTAACTTTCATTGACACAGATTTCGTAGTTTAATAAAGTTAGATAGCTAAATTAATATATGTGAGATTTTTTGTTGGGAAAAATATTGCATACGAGGTTAAAATGAGGCACACAAACCATATGAGTTTTATTTATATTTTTGCGATTAAAAGGTCTTAAAGGGTAAAACTTTGCGAAAGCTGAAGGAAATTAGAAGGGGAATTCCCATCTGGAAAGTCACGAAATCTTATTTTCTATTTTGTTATATTTCAAAGTGTACCTTCTCATCACTCAAACTTATATTTCCACATATACCCATGGTTAATTTTTTAAAATACTTTGGACGCCTCCATTAAAAAGAATTACAATAATATAGGGCCTATCAATGACATAAATTTTGAAAGAAATACATTGCTTTTTCAATAATAATGCTTAAAATGTGAAAACTGCACATGGCCACTGTATAATTTGTTGTACAAGTATGTTGTACGAGATTTTGTTGTTGTGTGTAGCCCATCGGAAAAAACATGCCCCACTGAAGTCGAAGGCAGTTCCTGTCAGGCCCCACTTGTTTGGTTTGATCAAGAAATCAGGTTGGCGTTGAAGCTGAAGAGGAGAGCTGAAAGGAAGTGGCGGCGAACCAACAACGCTTGCGACCTTTTAGGTTACAAACAGCATAGAAATATGGTCACTTCTCTCTTGAACAAGACTCGTTTCGATTTTTACAAAGAGTTTATTGATAATAATAGCTCTGATCAAGCGAAATTATTTAAGGCGTCAAAATTACTGCTTAGGCACTCTGTTACTGCTCCTCTTCCTCCATTTACTAATAAATTGACTTCGGCTAATGATATGGGTAACGTCTTTGTGGAAAAGATATCAAATACTCATGCCAAACTTGACAACTTAGTTTTTAATACACCTGCTGGAGAATCTTTCTTCACATCAGAAACATTATCTAGTGATTTATTGTTTGACCAATTTACATCCTTGACTGAGTTACAGGTAAAGCAGCTTTTTGTTAAATCTTCAAAGAAGTCCTGTACCCTAGATCCAATGCCCACCAGTTTGGTGGGTGAGTGCCTTGACGTTCTGCTTCCTGTATTAACTAAAATGATCAACCTATCTCTTGAGACTGGTACATTTCCTGATGATTGAAAGGAGGCTTTGATTTGCTCTTTGCTAAAAAAGGACAAGCTTGACCCGATTTGTTGAAAACTATCGGCCAATCAGTAACTTACAATTTATATCCAAACTAACTGAGAAAGCAGTGTATGACCATCTGCATTGTCACATGTCCAAACATTGTCTGTTTCCAGTTCAACAATCATCTTACAGGAAAACATCACAGTACGGAGACTTCCCTTTTGAAGGTAAAAGATGATTTATTGCTGAAGATGAACTCTCAGCATGTGACTTTACTTGTTCTTATAGACCTCAGTGCAGCCTTCGATAACGGTTGATCATGACATTTTGCTGAAACGTCTGCAGTTGAAAGCTGGAGTTTTAGGCAAAGCTTTGGATTGGTTTACATCCTATTTGTCAGGTAGAAGCCAACGCGTGTCTATTCAAGGAACCCTGTCAAAAACGTTCGAACTTAACTGTGGGGTTCCTCAGCGATTATGTTTAAGACCACTTTTATTTACTATTTATGCTTCTAGATTATTTGACATCATTGAGCACCATCTGCCTAACATTCATTGTTATGCTAATGACACACAGCTGTATCTGTCTTTTATTTATTTTTTTTTGTGCTTGGTTTCAAATAAGTTTTCAGTGTAATGCGCCTTTGATCACTTCGGTGGAAAGGGCGCACTGGTACCCGCACGAGTTTCACATTAAAGTTTACGCAATTGAAGGAAGTGAGGAACAGTGCATTTGCAGACGATCATGTTTACGTCTGTTTATAGGTCAATTGTACAGTTTGACAGTAGGTCCATCGTTTTTCTGAAATTCAGAAATTCATGACAGAGATATGACAAAACAATTGTTGACCGCTGTGGTGTGCGCTATGCGTCCCTTGGGTGTTCAAAACGTCATGTCCCAAACCACAGCGGTCAACAATTGATAAATGTATGTTGGGACAGGAAGGGGAAGATCATTTCAAAGTCCACAGCATGTGAAGTCAAATAGCAAATGAGGTAGGAAGTGCCATACGGTAATCATAACATCAATAATTTATTCTCTACATCAGCCATTCAGCCATGCACAGACATGACAAATTGAAAAGGGAAACATGATAAAGAAAAACCCATGCTATTACAAAGAATTCAAAAAGAGGCTCGTAATTCCTTGCAACTCAACCCCGCAGAAAGACTAAGTAACGTATTGCAAGCCCTGACCTCAGTTATAAAATTTTTATTTCTTACCAAATAACAGCCAGGTTGCACACGACTCTGCCAGGAAGTCATGTGACCATTTGAGATGGAAGATCCCCATTAGTTGAGCTGTTCAGCGACACTCACATTTTATTAATTCCTAAGCCTCTAGAATTCTATAAATAGAGCAGATTTTCCTTGCTCATCGGTGAGGTGCTGCTGACCAAATCCTTGCTGCGAGAGCGAAACCTATTCATAGTGCGGCTGTTGGACCCTGTCCGACAGAAGTGCGGTATAACCGTTCTTTTGGCGAAGAAATGTGACCATAATGAATGCCTGGGTAGCTTAGCTTGGACCGATGCGAAAGCGGTGCGAACTAGCCCAGGGTGCTAGGGGAAGTCGTAGCGGCCCGTCACCGCTACGTCCGAACCGATTGCCGGGCGAGACACCCACGAGTCCCTCACCACCCTTGTCCTGTTAACTTGTCGCGGTCCTCTCTGTCTCTACGCTGAGCCAACGGTACATAGTGCGGCGATTCTATCATTGCGCTCATCACAATGTGGTCTGAGCGGCAGAGCGGTCGGTACATACTGGCGCTGGCCCCGTCCAGCTAACACTGTTGTGGTCCGGAACAGCTCCCACCATACACGGCCCGGCCGGATGAGTGTAGCCTAGTCTACAGCACCCGATCCCGACTACCCACCGCTACTTTTAAGTGAGGCCTGTGCAGCAAAATAGCCTGCAAGAACTGTGATGCTAATAGATTATAGTATGATGCGATACAGTGGCACACCTATAAGTGACGCTAGTCAGCGTCAAGAAAATTGGCAAACAGAAGGCTCGAACAAGCCTCACTTATAAGCTTGCCTACTGTATTGCATCATACCTTAATATATTAGCATCACAATTTGAGCGCGGCTATTTTGCCCCACAGGCCTCTCTTACAAGCTTACGTGTAGTTGTGCGATGCTACCTAGCTGTACCGTACCCGACCAGTCTACTTGCATTTCCAATGGTCCTGCCAAACCGTTGTTCAGTAATACTGGTATACAACTTCGCCTCTCTATAACTTTCCTTTTAATGTGTGAAATTATCTTGAGCTAAGTCTTTTTCAAACCCCCATTGAACTTTAATGAGGAGAAGTAGGAGCAATAAACCAACTATACCCAAACCTAACTATACCCAAACCTAACTATACCCAAACCTAACTATACCCAAACCGAACTATACCCAAACCTCTTGTTTCCGGTCCACCTTTTAATAAATTGTTGACCCCAAATATCACATCCCGTAGATACTAGTAAAGTCCATGCTACCATCCACTTGATATAGTAGAGAACGCAACAATACTTACATCGAAAGTAATAGAGTGGGCCTACAAATTACAATACATCTGAACACGTAAATGGTACCGAAGGTGACACACTGCACACTGCGATTGCGGTGAACTAGCTTACGTAACATTCACAGGCGCGTCCAACCGCCTATTCAATGCATGGTGCAAATACGACCATTCAGGATTATGAGTGTTCGAGTTCGGCTTGCGATTGCGAACAACCCCCCCCCCCATTGTGGCATTCTTAATCTATAAAAATTCCGCCGCAAAAAGTTAACTTGGCCAAATATGACGCTACTCACCAACAGCTTGATGGTGCTAACACAGAAAAAGACACGGAACGTCAACGTCCGTGACAGTTTTGTCGCCTGGTCCCAATTTCAACACACGCAATTGAAAACCAATTGTCACGCATGCACGTTAGATACACAGATCAGTTGCACTGTGCATGCCGTGCACTGCCAGCAACCGAAGTTGCAGGCCAGTAAATGGACCCAAAATTGCCTGCGCGGACCGAATCACGATTTGTATAGGCTAGGCTGTCAAATTCTCTGCTATTAGAGTCGTGGCGCAGTACCGCGGTGGACTGGGAGGATGGAATCCTAGGGGCAGGAACGCTTGTATATCTAAAAGCATCTGTTTTGCAATGGAGATGTTCGTAGGTAATACCCACGTCTGGAGTGCAGGCATCCGTTTTTCAAAATGGCGATGGGCCTCATTTTTTCAGTGTGATTTTCTCTGGAGAAAAATATCTTCAAAATTCATACGTTAAGCCACTGAAAATTGAAAGAAAAATGGAGTTGAGAAAGTGAGCTTAAATTTGATTTGTGTCTTGAACACCTGTTAAAGTCATGAGTATTTTCCTGATTTGTTGAAGTGGGAATATTTATCACTGTTAGTATGGCAGCTAATTTACTGGTCTGTAACCATCGGGTGCCGTCCTCTTAAACCGCTGACGTACACTTAAAGGAAACTACTGTGCAAGACTCGTTCACGAACAGTAGCGCGGTGTAAATGTGCAATGCGCAATGGCGAATCCAGCTTTTGGTGCGGGGGGGGGGGCAAATTCAAAAGCAAATGCACTTCGGGCTCATTCAACATGATAATGGGGGAGAAAAAAATATAGCCCATTAATTTGATGAATAATATACTGAACAGTTTCTTTCCTACTCACCTATGAAGTATTTCAGTTGAAAAATAAATAAATATCCGCCGTGTGGGCAAGCTCCCCCCCTACATGCGCCGCATACAGCTGAGGAACTATAGATTACTATTGAATGCCCACTTAATAATATAAGTACCCCAGATAACTACTTTTATCGCGCTGACACGTTAATTTGAAATTGTCGCTCAATTCGGTACAAAGCCCCTGATACACAACCAAACTTATCGAGAGAAATAAATTGCGCTGCGGAGGACTAACATTTTCAGTGCTCAGTGGTAAGGTCAGGATAGGGTAAGTCTTGATTTAAGGGGCGTATTCGAAACCCCATTTTCATGGGACTCACGAACAGTGTTCTTGGGTCGTTGATTACGAACGCCGAAGTGCAAAAGGAGTGCAGCTACGCTGAAGGTCAAGATAGCAGTCGCCATTTTGACACCAAATGAAAAGATGGCATGACATTTATACCATCTTAAATAAAATAAAATCCTCAAATATCCCTATCAATTTCCGATGTCCACAGACCGTCAATTCCATGGTGGACAGGAAAGGTTCAAACCTGAGCAATATCTAAGATTAATAAAGGCCGTAAATGACGTCCAATTAAGTACAGTGTACATATGTATAAAATGGTCAGGGATAATTCTCTCCAATAGCCACGAGTATTTGCCCTAGGTTTCATTTTCCTTATTGTGACCGTTTTCTAGTTTATATAACAAAGCCAACATTAATTACGGTATGTGCCTATATCCGCCATCTTTGTTCTAGATGTTCTCCATCCACTCCACAGAAAGTGGGAGTGAGAATCTTTCTCTCGAACAATGTTGATTCTCCCCGTTCGAAACCCGAGTTATTTAGGACTTCAGGTATTCAGAAATATTGGTATTAAAGGCTTAAATCATTCAGCAATTTCGATATTTAAACCTGTATATACGTATTTGGGAACTCGGTGAAAGAGGAGACAGAATCAGTAAATAGTATAAAAATAACTAAGTAACGAGATTCAAAAGTAAAGAAATCATTTCAGACTTCATTTATATAGGAATTGAGTTATTTACAAACTTACTTAGATATTTAGAGCCTGAGTCACGCAGGAACTTGTATAATTAGGAAGATGGGTATTTAGATATTATTCAATAAAAACTTATTTCGGACCTTAGTAAAACACCTATTAAAATAACATATTCCTGAATAACTAAATATCTAAATTAGTAATGTACATGTAATGATGGGGGTAGGTTGACGGGGTGTTGTTAGAACCAAGTGGTCCTACCAGGCAAGTCTCAGAAGGGGGGTGAGGTGATGTACCTCTGCAGGGAACTCCTCAATTAAATGGTGATATGACACGATCGCTCCAGTTGAGCTGCTTCAGTTGTTTATTTATCTCAGCCGTGTGTCATTGACAAATTTAAATACAGGAAAAAGAAACCTGGGAATACAACAGTGGGAAATGAAACCAGTAAATTACTGTTGCGCATTTCTATGAAACCCATGATCGTTTGCAGCTTTAGAAATAATTACAAATGATTATAATTTGGTATTTTACACATCACAAAAACTCACCCAGTACCAACTTCAACGAACTTGAAGACAAAAAGTGGTCAAAACACAGCAATGGTCAGAAGCTCATCAGTCTGCAGGTTACCTCAGAAGGCCTATATTCAAAGTATTTGTATATATAACTCATTCCAATGATTCCTAAGACTGGCTACTAGACGCTATAAAATGTATCAACAATGCTGTTGTTCAAGTCGTTGTCAAAAATACAACGCACCTGCTTTTTACTCCAGGATACAGTCCACTAATTCAAGCCCCATTCAAAACTGTGTAAAATCAGCACTGTTCAGTACCCAATGACATGCATGCCAACATCCTTGAGATTTTTGAAACACAAATGAAATTATTGTCTGGTCACTAATCTTTCAATTTGTTTTCAATTTTTGTGGGGGTTAACCAATTACATTTTTAATTATTCCCACAAAATAAAATCATCCCCCCAAAAGGGACAACCCTCAACTTTCTCAGGCACGTAGGACTATTTTTCAACCTTAGTTTTTAGCCATTGTGCTCTCATATGAAAGCTCAAAGACCCAGGGAGTTGATCCCCGGCAACGATTTACACAATCTCACCATTTTTGGAGCCAAAAATCTCCTTTTTCAAAAGATACTGTGGGGGGCACTTTTAATGCTAATGAGCTTGCCAGAAACTCTCACTTGAATTAGTGGCCTGCACCCTTTATATGTGTATTAGGATGAATTTTGTGCCCCCCCCCATTTTTCTGAAATTTTAACTCCTCAAAGTTAGATCATGCAGTTTCTTAGAAATGTGTATAGATTGCTCGGCAGAGCGTGTGGGCAGGTTGGTAGCAGAACTTGCAACCAACCACAAGAGTCCTTGAGGAGGAGCAGATAAATTCATTGGCCAGTGACCTTCCACTTCACTTGGCTACTGGACTCGACAGAGACTGTTCTGTTGTCTCTGTGATCTCTCCTTGCATTGAACCTGCCACAATTACAAATTCGTCCCTGTCCTGCTCTAGGCAAAGACACCACTAGTACTGAGGCACTAGAGTAACATCAGTGAGCCTATTGAGCTGCATATACTGCTGGACAGTGAGTGACTTGGAGGGGAGTCACATGCATTGTGTTCCTCACACCTGATTTACTCAAGCCGGGGAAGGAGAGACTGTGCAATCGAGCCCTGCACACCATCTGCACACCATCTGCACGTAGCCAATGATCTTGGGAATTCATTCAAGCCCCCTTGAACTGCAAGTCCTTTAACTGCAAGCTCCCCAGCTTATTGCCAAGTGAAGCCAGGACAAGTCATCCCCAACTTCAACACATCTTCAAGCTAGGCCCTTTATTTATTTTTGTGGTTAATTACTAATTATTTTCTTCAAGAGCTGCAGATCTTCATCGTATAAACACTGTTGTTAAGTATATCATAAACAGGTGCAGAGGACAGAAAAAAGCTGCACGGCACAGGTACAGTAGAGCTCACCAGCACAGGTTAAAGACAAGAATGACTGATGACTGCAAGCAGCCTTTAAAGTTTCTTGAATTCTGTAGTTTTCAAGTAGAAAAGCTTACTTTAATACAGAAACTGGTGGAATTCAAAGTCTGAATTTATCTCCAGAGAGTACACGCTCTTTGTCACAACTCCACAATTTAATCTTTATAAAAGATAAATTTCGGATTTCTGACAAAGCTTACCGGAAGCTTATACTGCTATTTGTGAAGACCCACCTTCATTGCATAAATTAAAACAGTCAACTGACTCATCTTCTCTGTAAAATTGATGACCTTCAATTTTTATTGGATGAGATGAATGATTTGTGTATCTCTCTTCTCAGTGAACATGGCACATTTACACCAGATGAAGTGTGCAATTTCAAGACCAGAAGTAAAGCATGGTTAAATATGTTCACATCTATCTACTAGACAACTCATGTGACCCCATACATCCACATCTTGGTGACACATGTACCAGAACTGCTGTCCAAGTATGGTTCTATTGCTCATTTTACCCAGCAGGGCCTGGAGAAATTGATATAACAACCAAGATTTTTTTAGGTCCACAAACCACCGTCGTAATACTCTACTTCAAATAATTAGAAAGCGAGCTAGATGTGAAATTATGGGGGATGAACAGCAATTTTATAAAGTGCAGTGTTAACATGTTTCTCTGATGGAGATGAATATTCATGACTTAAACTCTCATAAGCCGTGTGAACAAAGTTGTTGCATGACTCGTGTGGGCCGTCCCATTGCGTAAACAGTGAGACAATTTACACTGCAGTCCTGATTTCAAAGATGCCTGTGCTCACATGAAATTCTTCGTGCATATTTCTAGAATATTTGATCTAAGTTGTCCTTAGATCATGCTTTTCACAAATCCACGTTTTAACAAGCTATGCACAATCAACGAGAACAGTGAAAAAACATGCAGGAGACTTTTACGTTGGCCTGCCTAGTTTATACCAAATGGGGGCGCTCTAAATGAGACGTTCATAGCTAAAGTGAGGATATTTGTATTTTCGTACAGCGTACGAAACCTTTTCGCTATCTCAGCCGGAAACGAATTAATTCTCACTGGTTGGCTGATAATAAAATGCGTAAACTAGTAAACAAATAAATAATGTAAGCAGGTGTTGTTATTATCATATTATGCCCGCTACATATGCATGTATAACGTATGTGATTGATGAAATGTCAAAGGTCAGCTGTATGTTCATGCCTAGTACACATATCATACAGCCATGAATATCTCATTCAACCGGCGGGAAACCATGGAGCAATAATGTGATTGTACATGTTCATGTACATGACGTTATGCATTATGTCTGGCTTGAGCAAACGGACAAGGATTTCTGTTGCACATTTGAGCAAGACGTATGCAGCAATTAATAAGTGTCTGAGTAAAGTAATAGGCTCAACAACATCTACAATCTTTGTGGAGATAGACAACTCACCCTGGGGAGGCAGGCAGTTTTGGAGGGGAATACACTTGGTTTGAGGATTTTCCCAGGCAGTGGCGATGGCCCTGTGGCTAGGCTGTGCACACTGGCAATCTTCTTGTACACAGTACCGCATGACAGGCTTAAGCGCTTATGAGCCAATCCGCTCACAAGGAAGTAAATACCTAATTAATTATTCATAAATGAGCTCCCTGCACTATATAACTCAATAATAGGAAACTCTAATTGGAAGATGGAGTATAAGTCGTTTTGGAGATTAGATATTCATGACTGTGTATGTCGGAACTCATTCACGCAGCAGACAAAGTAATTAAATACTACAACTATAAACTTCATTTCTAAGTAGCTAAATTAGGCGTACATGAAACTATTAAATTTCATGAAGCTATTTAGGAACTTAGGTATTCAAAAATTTCTGGTATTTAGAGTTTTAGTTATTTAGGAATGAAGACATTTAAAAAATAAGATTTTAGGGATGATATTCTGAAATATTCACTTACATGTATATAAGGAGCTGAGTTAAATAGCATTCGAAATAACTCAATACCTAAATAACTAAATTACTAAGTAACTGACTTATTTGAAACTTCAGTCGTTCAAGAATTTAGCTATTCTGAATTTTTGTATTAATAAATTTTTTCACTTAGGAGATCATAGAAAGGTAGGTATTTGTTACTGTATATATTCTCAAATGTGTCTGTATTTTGGAACTTGGTTATCTAGCAAACTAGGTTACTAAAATGAATTAAATGACTGTGGGTAAGGAACTGATTTTGAACTTGACTTATTTAAGACTTTAGGTATTCAAAAAATAATATTGTGAGACATAATATAGCAATATAGATATTAACGACGATACACGTATTTAGAGACCTGTTTTTTTGCAGACGAAATATGTATACACTAAACAAATAAATGCATGTGCAACCTATGATGCATTAGGTGCAAAGCCATTTCTGACGCTGTCCATTAAACCATAAATTCGTGCTCCGTCATGCGTGACGGAAATGTGGATTTCTTGGTGTCATACGAAAAAAGACATCATACCGAAACAGTTTACCTTACCATTTACAAAAATAAGAGATACTGTCACAATGTATATATTTTGACAGAATACTTTATACTTGACAAAAATGAGTTCACATGCTTGGTGTGATTAAATGTAGAGTATTTTACAATGTAAACTGTCCTGAATGGTAATATTCAGTGTTCAAACAGATGTCATAATTGTCCACTTGTTCGCATTTTTTCACACTCAAATTACCTCCACTAGATTGTACTTTTAACTTAAAACATTCAGGGTTTCTGAAAGGTCGGATTCTGTGGAGGATTTTAGCACTAATTATTGATAGATTTGACCAATCACAGTGAAGACTTTCAACCAATCACAGTCAAGAGTGCTAGCCAATTACTTCCAAGTGATTTTACCAATCGGGCGAACAGTCAAGGTACTAATAAGCCATGTGCGAGTTAAATTTGAATAAAATCTGGTACACTGAGTTATCTGAATTTCCCAGACGGAAGACACTGTTGCTATACCTCGTGATTCGGGCAAGCTTTTGCTTAGCGACCACAATCTTTGGAATGGACTGGTTCCTTTGTGCCCTTCTTTTCCACTGAGAACAGTATGTTGTTGAAAGGCGTCCTTACATATGCAGCAAGTATGAGACGGAGAGAACCCCCCCTGCTTTGTGTTGGTCATTGTCTCGCAGGAAACTGGGGAATTCCTTTCAGACATCTTGGGGGATGTGTTAATTAACAATAGTCTGGAATGTGTATAGGGATTGGACATGTTGGGGGGGGTACCCCTCGGTCTTATTTCTTGCTGGGTATAGTCTCTTATGTAACCCAGGAACGGCTTGCCGTGAATTTAAAGAACTCAGTGTACCAGATTTTATTCAAATTTAACTGGCAAAAGGCTTATTGTAAACAACGCCAGAGGGAATGCGTATTGTGTGGGTCATTCAGTCACAGCAAATTATGCAAGCTGGTTCAATTTGCCCACCACCACCCCAGCTCCGCATTTGAAGCAAGATATGGGACGGAGAGAACCCGCTGCCTTTGTGTTGGTCATTGTTTGATCGGAATCTCATGTCAGGAATTCTTTACAGAGTTCTGGGGGGGGGATGTGTTAGGTAACAATAGTCTACAGTGTGTATAGGGATTGGACAGGTAAGGGGGGGTACCCCTCCGTCCCATATTTTGCCTGGTATACAGCCCCGACCTTGTCTACCACATTTCCTTTAGAAATGGCGTTTTCTAACAGGATGCGGGGACAGCCATCTCCTAATACATACATGATTTGACACGTATTATTATTATTAATATGGTTACCGTTAACAGTGGATATTGTTTCTCATATGGATGTGTGTTTTTACACTGTTTGTAAGGGGTTAGCCACTCCCTCTTATACCCATGTGGGTTGGGTGTGCTGGGTGTTCCATAGCGAACCATGACTGTACCCCGGAAATACTGCTCCTGGGCCTACGTGCCCGCTGAATTACTAATTAGCCTGGGTGCCAATGGAAATTGATGTACATGGGAACTGAGCGTCCATTGAGTGTGTAGTTGATGTGTTTCGGGCCTGTTAGCCCATGTTTCTGATACCAGTTTGCCCAAACAAATTCGGTATCAAGCAAATAGGTTTGAAGAATGATTGAAGCTGTGGCAAGAAACAGAAAAGGTTGCGTCTCGAGTTTCATACATTAAAGAGTCCAAGTATAATAAGTCACATTCAAGGAACAGATTAGTTCTGTGGCCCCATGCGTGAACCTGACAAGCCACACAGATATGAAACTGAGAAAAATCTAGTTAAAGTTTGCGCTTCTTGGAATTTTCTGTTTGGTCAGAATAATACCGCCCTCTGTATTTCAAAAATAGGGCAGCCTCGCAAAAAAGGATATGATCTTACTCTACACATTCATGCAGCTAACTCAGAAAGTTTGAAAATGTGGCATATCAGGTTCATGCGTGGGGCCACAAAGTTAATCTCGGTTTCCTTTTTTAAGATACCCTAAATATCAACTTGACATGGACAGATATGGATTTTAGGATAGCATGACTGAGCAATCTAAACTGCATTTGATTTAACGTTAATCTAACACGCAACCAGTCTGTTATTCATTGCAGTAGACGCATTCCACTCCCTTTATATACATTCTTATATAATGCATAAATAGTGACAATTAAGAAACATCCATCAATTCAATTTCGAGTGAATCGTAAGATCACTGTAAAACTCACGTTAAAGAAAATTCATAAAAATAACAATTGCACAGTTAATACCATAGATATGTTTAAAACTTCCACTACCTGAGAAACTAAAGACAAACGACCGAATCGGTGGTTGAAATTTTTAAGGTAATACACTAAGCCCTCTTGAAAGAAAGTTCCGTCATTCGGTCTCCTGTGGGTTCTTCAAGATTGCTGCTCCGTTGATCGCACAAGGATATCATGAACCTGTGTTAAAAATACATCTGTTCAGAGGCTACCTGAATTAGCCAAATTAGATTAGAGTGATCTATCATATTTATAATATGTGTATATTATACACTTGAAACACCTTCTCAAATGGAAATATGGAGTGGTGCGAAATTTATTGAACAGTCAAAATTGATGACGGCTCCAAAAACATTTTGACAAGACGGCTGTGAACATACCTGAACATGGGGTGGAACTTGCAGTATGTAGAGCATATTGTCAGCGATATCCTCTGCTTTCAAGACCTATCATCCACACTCACAAGAAAAAATCCAGTGAAGCAGCTCCATCAAAATTTCAAAAACTGAACCAAGAAAACTAAGACTGGATTCATACCACAGGTAAAGAAATCCATTTTATACGAAGGAATGTTTGGTTGCCAGCTGCAGTGATACCTTAACTGAAGCAGGATTCGATCCCTTGACCTCTGGAAAGTCCAACCAACGGAACTCTGTGAGGCCCTTGCAGAGGGGTTCCTATACTATCTGCCACGGCTATATGAGGCTGAAATGTTTCTGATATTCTTGAGGTTAGAGCTCAAATTCGGCTTCTTTCAACTTCTTGTGGGATAGGGTTTGGAGAACCAGTGAGTAATAGTGTACATGTACGTGGTGTGTTTAAGTTAAATTCAAAGGTGAATGATAAAATTCAAGTGTGACATTTAATGGGTGCCAAACTGAACACAGTTTGAAGTTTGAATAGATTGGTTAAAACATGCCTCACCCCTCCCCATCCCCACAGAGAAAGAAGAGGGTTAGGATAGTGTTTAAGTAAAAAGCCAATTCAGTATTTCCAAAAAGCACAGTCACTCATGAACAACACACCATCTAAGTCCGTCAAGTGCCATGTTGGCATATCGATATGGGTCATTGTCACTATAAGAGAAACTACTTGTGAGCAGATAGACGATTTTTTTGATACAGAGTGGTTTTCCAAAAGAGTTTTAAAAAATAAGATATTTCGTCGGGAGGAAACAGTTTTAAAAACATCTTTTTTCCACATTTAAAACTTCCTCTGCATGGATAGAGGTGCAGATTTAGAGTTTAGAGAATAGGGTTTACCTCCAACGATTTGTACATCACAGCGTGGACCTCTTCAGGATCGTCCTTGGGATACATGTGCTCTTGAAATCTTGTACGTACTAACCCAGGCGAGACTTGCTGTAAGAAGTCCAAAGGTTAAGGATTGCATTCAGTGAACGTAAACAAAGAGGGAAAAATTGGCCAACTATCTACATACAGGTCTAAATATTCGAAGTCATACAGCTTTTAAGGATCAAATTCAAGTCTTTACCGCAATTCTAATACGACTCTTCTTCTCTCTCAATTCCCGTCGGATAGCTTCCACCAAGGCAGTCACGGCGTGCTTGGTGACGCCATAGAAATGGATTTGTCTTGCGGACAATCGGTGGCCAGTCAAACTGTGTATGAAGAACAGAAGCGTTCACCCCGGTTCCAAGAAAAGCAGAGAATTGAAATTGAAACTTACAAAATTGATTGTAATGAATGCTCTTGAAAGGAAACAAAATTTTACGAGGAAAGCCCATTACAGATCCATTGGATTTCCAATAGACCAAAATCAGCATATCCCAATCTGATTTCCAATATATCCCCTTGGATTTAAAACAACCTGTGCTATTTACCAAAATACCGATGTTCACTTCAGTTACCTGTTGGTCACTAACAACTGACCGTCCATTGCCCCCTTTTCCTCCATTTGTTTCACAGCCTCTCGACAACAAATTGCTACAGCCAAGATGTTGACCTGTAACCAAAGATTACAGTAAAACGCAGAAAAGTGATGAGTGCCACATGGTGGCATTGAGACCATTCATGGTCGCCGACATCTAACTGGGTAATATAGGGCTATGTGTGACATCAAATCTGGGAGACAACTTGTTTAGGGAGCAGGATAGTTATCAATGTTGAAAGAGAATCTCTTATCCTCAGTGAGAGTTCATTTATTTCAAGAGCCACAAATTCAAAGAGTTCCAATAGGAATGGCGCCAACAAGCAACAGCGAATAATGGTCCAGTTGTACTCACGTTCAGCATGTCTCGCCATTTGGCCGTCTCTCCATTCAGTATTCCCATTCCCGAATTTATTGAACCAGAATGACTAAGTGCTGCGTTGCTGATACAGACATCCACACCACCAAACTTCTCTTTGATCTCGGCAAACATCGCGAGGATTTCGTCCTCCTGCGACAACTCGCACTTAATTGCATACAAGGAACCAGTAACAGTGCTGTCCCGTGATAACACCTGAGCATCATCCTTGAAAGTTTCAAAAGTCGATCGAACGAACTAAAGATGAGCAACAGGTTATTCGAATGAGTGATGATACTTGAACTATAATTAGCACGAATGATGAAAAATTACCTCTAAATTGAAAATCAGGCAAATTAGACAATACACTCATTTCTAGGCCAACTTAAACTCTGAAATTTCCACCTGGCAAACTTTGGAAGTGATAGATTTCTAAACGTTCAGAAGGTAAAAACTTTCCATTGCAGGAGAAACCAGAGCATGTTAGTGCTTTAATTCTAGTGCAAAAATTCATACAATTTTGTAAACGGTAGCCTCATCCTTTCCTGACCTCAACTGGTTTGATGTCCCTGTCACAGCCGATCACTTTCATGCCCTGTTTGGCAAGCGCCTTCGCTGTGGCTTGACCGATACCAGAAGAGGCTCCTGTTACCAAGGCAACACGCCCCGCCCATCTCTGCATGCCCTCTCTGCTAGCCATGACAATCGACAGTTCTAAACTGCAGAAGGAAAAATTGTTTCAATAATGTGCAGATAGAGGCACCTTGCAAATCTTCAAACTCCTTTGGCAATAATTTCATTTAATTAGGGTCCTTTTCATGTAGAGAACTTGCATTAAGAAATAGATTTGCAACACTTCGGAAAAAATCAATACTTTTTTCTGTTTGAACAGACATACAGCTGTGTACAACTTTAAGTCAGAAAATAAGTTAGATAGGCTCCTGTTATGTTTTAAAACATTAAGTCAGACTTTTTTGGAAAGAGAGATTAGATTATTAATTTATGGGAAAGTGTAAACCTTTCAAAACTTTCCTGGATTAATTGTGAAGGATTTTGCGCGTTTTTTTTCTTACGCTGTTTGGGTGAGTAGATCAAAGAAAAAACACTCCCCTTTAAGTATATTGATGAAAGGATTTTCATGTTTCCTTTAATGGCGCGAAAGCGGTTTTGAGGCGACTCACATTGAGAGTAAATGGCATGGAATTTCGCTTCTGAATATGGAAAGCCCAGTGATAATGTTAGCATGGGCACAGGATTCGTCTCAACGTTTATTGGAAAGGGTTTTAAGGAAAAGGCTGCCTAGAGATCGGCCCCGTTCAGTGGCTAAGTTCACACGTTCACAGATATGTTCAATTAATTTAAATTAATTTGTCACTTTTCTTTTTCCTTGTTATATTCTTTTGTTTAATTTCAATTATAGTTCGATGAAGAACCTTACATCTTCAGTTACTTTTGTTGCTTTGTATGTACAGATATTATCCATTTGCAACTGCACGGTGAAAGTTTGATTAGTATATACAAATACTTTTTAATCAGAAAGTCACAAGAAGTCAATATACGATGGATTTCCTATGATTTTGTTCTAGAATTTTACATTCATCTTCGCACCCCCCCATCCATTTTATGGTATATTCCTTTTGCAAGTTGTCTAATACAATAGATCTTACATGGACTTGGCACGCGCGTGGCGAGCCGCGTGCACATAGACTTTTGACCAATCAGAATCGATTAAACTGTCCTGCAGCCACCGATCTCCATTATCTTTACAGTGATCAAAGCTCATATCCATGTGCCTGGGGGTGCATGTTAGCGTTGCTGGTCTTTCCTCGCTTTGCACCAATGAGGCCCGGGTCCGAGTCCTGGCTTGGCTCCGGCTTTAGGTTGGAATTTGGATTCCAGTCCGCACTCGTTCTTGCATGTTTTCTGCTGCAGGGTACTCCGATTCTCTCCTGCTTCTACAACTGAACCTTCTTTTTAACCACGTAAAGTTATGCTGATTAACACAGGTTATGATTAATCGTATGGTTATTGGCGCAAATGACCTGAGTAGCTGAAAGTGCCATTAAAGCAAATAAAATAAAACAATATAATAGGTGCTAGCGTGTGATTTACGCAGCGGGTATTATCTCTTCCCAGCGGGCATTATCAAATGACACATATTATAATGCGCGATCAAGTTGCACGTTGTTGAATAGGGAGATTGTCTGAGGTATTTATGAATGTAAGTTTAAGCATGCTTCCAATGTATTGTATGATAATGCCTCTCTCGTGTAGAGAGGGCCAAGGCATCATTGGGACATGCCTATCTCTGGCAGCATGGGCCTGCGACATTGGCTGCACATGCACAATCACTGTGCAGTCAGAGTAGCCTGGCATAGTTTACTGTTCCAGTAGGAGCGTTGTTTGCTTTTATCTAGGGAGGCAAGAATCAAGCTAGAGTTTATACACTTTTTTCAGGCTATAGGCCTATGATCGTACAGGTTCTGAGGAAAGTTATTTATGTTTAAGCCCGGGATACTGGATGACGAGACCATGGATTAGATGACTACCGAGAGAGTTTTGGCCAATTGAATTCAAAATGTTGTTCACGCATCTCATTTCATAAATAATCTCTGAAGAGGAGTAGGTATCACGATTTGTTATTGGTTGGAGTTTAATCGGATCATTTCGGTAAGAGTTGTCTTGAGAAATGTCACCACTTATTCACTGCTTCTTTCATCAGTAATTCCATTTTTCAAAAGTGTGAGGACTAAATACTTGAGGCTGCTAGCTTGTACAAGTCTCCATGGTTCAAGTGACCATTACAAGCAGTACAATCAACAAGTGTCCTTTTTCAGCCCTTCGCGTACAACACACACGCACACACGCAACCCTTTGTCATCCGTTGAATTTCCAATGGGGGTCATGTATACATATGTATTCATATACGACTACCGTCAATGAGGCTGCGAAGCTATGGTGGGCTGATGTGGCAGATGGGTTTGACCAAAAGTTTCTTGTTACTCAACGTTTTAGATTGCATCAGTCCCATGCCGCAGTGGACTCCCCCCCCCCTTATGTAATTAAGTCTTGGTTTGCCAATGGCTCTGCAAAGTTGTACACCAAACAGGACTCGCTTCGCTAGTTCTTATATTACTTGTATATCTATTACCATCTGTCATCCTGCTGGTCGTATTACATTACGTACTGTTTGTGTGCGCAGCTCTACAGGAAGGTTTCACAATATGTATGCGAATCAGCCATTTCAGACTTACTTCGCCGTATTATGGTGCTTGATCCATGAAAATACACCCCCGTCCATCCCAAACAAGGTTTGCGTTGTATATACTATTAACGTGGAAAGGTGTGCATTGAGTTATCCTTGCTTGCGTATGTAGAGACAGGAAGGGAGAGACAATCTCAGAGTCCTGAGCAACTGAGGTTGAAGGTACTATGCAGCCGTCATACATTGAATATTTCCAACCTCGGCAAGTCGGTCTTGCATAGGTGTAATTCAAAAGGAAAAGCGAGATAAAGAAACCCACACAAAAGCAACAAACGCACAATTAAAAAAGGATTCGGAAACTGAGCAATGCACACACTCTAAACACGACAGCGTGAAAACCTCACTCTCAAAAAGAGTGACGAACCTCTTATAAATCTATTCCAAAAGAGTAAAAAAAGCTAACAAGAGTGAAATCACTATAGTTACCAATTGTAAGTATGACCATATGCTTAGCTGTTAAGTTTTACTTTTTAGTAACGTTATGGTTCATTTATAAACTGCGGAAAATTGGTGATATACGCATATGGATTTCCTATGTAAGTCCTAGTCCAGAGAGTACCAATTTTATGGTGGTACAGTACGAGTGTAACACCAAAACACATATCACCAAAGGTAAGAAATATTGAGACTGCGATGAATGCTATAAGCCTATACTAATGTTTAAATACCTTAAAGGCCCGGCGACGGCTCCTACCTTCCTCGGTGTAGGCCTACGTACTTACTAGTTGAACGTCCAGCACGGCCTGTGCCATGATGCACGTCAGAAAAATGTATTTCTAAGAATAGGCGCCACACGTATACATGTACAGTGTTCGCGCGCAAATGATCTTGCCAAGTGGCAGCATTTGCTGGATCTATTTCGCCGCAGAAACCATAATAAATAGTAGGGTACGTACTCACCAACGCCTAAATGTTGCCAAATCGAAAAAGGTACAGATGTACACCTACAACAAAAGGACAGTTGTCCTTGTGAGCACTGCCACCCTCTTGGCCTTCTTTCCAGACAGGACCGGGTATACGCGTGCGCGTATGAAAGTTGGATGTTGTAAGACCCGTTCGCAGACAGTAGTACGTGGGTTCATGCGCCACAGCCTAAAGAATATAAATTACTGACGAAGCCCCACTTCATATGGCTACCTCAGAAAACTGTATTTATCATTATCCATTAAGAGGCCAACATATTAATCTGAAATTGTCATACAAAACTAAACTTATCGAGAACTAAATGACTTTGTGGACGGCTACCATTTTCAGTACTCTGTGGTAAGGCCAGAATAGGCCTAGTCTTGATTCAAGTCTGCAGACACGTGTGCACGCTCAGCCCCCCGTTATTGTTGCAGCTCGGGACATTCCTTTCAGAGTTGGCGAGGGTGGGGGAGGGGCGAGGGTGCAGTATACCTTGAGTATACAGCTTCTACATCACATTTGCGGCCCCCTTTGTCACAGGTTGGGTACATCAATTAATCTTTTCAACTACACAAAACGCGGGTGAATCTAAAAGGTCAACTCCGACCGACACGAGCAGAATCTGCAACTGTCAACTCATTCTTAAATGGCCCATACTCGCACTATAGAGTATCCTATCCCTGGTGGATCCAGTTTGCCCATCCTCTTTTTTTTCATCAGAAATCACTGATTGACGGGGAATGGCTTGGAATTGAATTCAGGTGTCTTTATGAGTCCGTGCATTTTTCGAGTATATGTAGTTCAGATGCATGAAAGTTAGATTAACAGTGTAATTGGATATTGTAACGGCACAAAATTTTACAAAGTATTTCTGAAGGAACGTTCCAAAGCATGCATGCAGCCAGATCTGTAGCCCAAGAAACCATAATTGTACACTCTAATATATTCCAAAATGGGGGGGGGGATAAAACAAACTAAACAATCAAACAAAAACAGAGATCACCAGATCAGGAGCTGTGCAAGACCTACTAACACCACAACGCAAAGAGGACACTACCTGGAACGTACAGCTGTTATACAGTGTTACCTCATTCCTTTAGGCCCCCCCCCAAAAAAAGTATCCAGTTTCTGGTCAGCGCACGAGTCGCCGTAGACCTGTGCAAGGGCAAAATATTAAAAATGGGGGGGGGCATAAAACGAAGTGGGTCATTCCGTGTCAGACCAACACACTTTTTGACCTTGGGAGGTCTTCAGAGTTTGATAAAAATTGCTGTCAATGAATAATAAATACCTACCAATTTTTAGCACAATCAACTAAAAGGGACAGTTGTCACTTATAAATCCACCCTTTTCGTAAAAGTGAAACGTAACCCTCTCATTTTTATCAAATAAATGCAAATGTGGTATCAAAGTAATCAGAAGAAATATGCTCTTTTCACTGATGTTGTGGAAATTTTGCTTTGTGAATCAGAAGTCAAGATGACCTTTGACATGTGTCAGTGCCCATTGACCCCATTTTAAAAATAAAAATAAAGCATCACTTTGAAAAGTGTTAAAACAAAGTGTTTTGAAAGTATGGTTCCTGCTCTAGAAGAATCCGCTAAGATCTTTTTGGGATACAGTTGGTCAGCTTAGATAATGTCAATGTTGTATGTAATCCTAATAGAGGAATTTGTACCCAAGCAATTAATGCTCTAAAATGAAATTTTTTAGGCTACGAAATTCTCTGCTATTAAAGCCTTTCATGGCACGTACACGTGGACTAGGTGGTTTGTTAAAAGGTGGATGAAATGCAGGGTGAGGACTGTCAGCTTGTATTTCTGAAAATATCGGACTAAACGGGGCACTCCAAATTGCTCTATTTTGCCATGGAGTGTAGGCATCAATTTCCAAAATGGCGATGGTCCTCCTGACTGTTTTGAATATACGAATGCAAAATTAATGAAAAGGGAACTTTTTTTAATGAAAAGTTGCACTATGGAGGCTTGTTTCAAGAAGATTCAAATGAAAAGTATCAGAAATTCTACAACGATTTAAAAAGTAAATTATTCAATAAACAATTTAAAAGGAATAGAAATTTTCAACAGGGAAAGAAGTCTTGTTCATCTCTCGTGGCTGGAGATACTCCTAGATATGTGAAGCTATTATATCGGTGTGTGTTATATTGCAATTGATTTTGTGTAATAGTTTGTTCATCAACAATCTGCCGGTCGGTGCGACATTCGATCAAATTGAAGATCGAATATTCGAATAGGAATTATTCGAACTAACTCAGCCCTACAGCCATGTGACAGACCCTCCACCAATATAAATGGCTAAATTGTCTTAAGTATTTATGAATAATAATTACTCCCACAATTCTAAATAATGCAGTAAAAGTAATCAATGCGTCCCATGCTGAGATCTAAAGCTCAGTCGTGTGTAAAAGCATAAATGCAGAAAAGACTGAAACAGGCTTTGCGAATTATTTCATTGTTAAAACCACAACCTTAGCAATAACCATGGCGACGAGCCAGCAGGATGCAAACAGGCGTGGTGCAGAGGAAGCAGGGCTCTTTGTTTCGGTGGACGCACTCGCTTTCGTGTTTACGTAGATGGTGCGATCACTGAGAGACTGGACAGGACGAAAGGTGTCTTTCAGGGCGATGTTGGCCAATGCATCAGGTTCGTTGGCATACTGTCTGCGCAATGCAGTCAGCTGCATATGCCAATGATAAGGGAAAAAACATAAAGCTGCGTACGTGATCAAGGTAGAATGACTGTATGCTAAACGTCTAAATGTTCACACTTAAGGGTGATGTGTTCAACAGAGCCTGTTTGCTTGGTGCGTAAGAAGTTTTCTCAACAGGTTTTGTTAGTTGAGCCTGACATTACAGTTAATCTTCAAGTACATGTCCAAGATACTTAATGGAACAAATGGGGCTGTTCAGTTGTCCAAGTCCCAATAACTGATTGATTCAGTTTGCATCTATGATTATTTATAGGGGTGACACTGCAGAGGACATGTAGGCAGATGTGAGGGGTTAGATCTTGGCAACTCAAAATTTCCAAATAGAGTCAGCAAACACGGGCAGTGCCAGGAATATTGTGGTCAGGGGGGGGTTGTTACGGGAGTTAAAGCCACCAGCGGAGGAAGTGCCGGTGCCAATGCCCCCCCCCCCACATACTTTTTGCTGGGCCTATATTGGGGCGGGGTTAACGGATCAGCCCATTACTGACTGATGACTGATGGTCTAACAACTAGCCTCCCCCCGCGTCGCTGCTGGTTAAAGCATTCACTAGCAGCAAATTGGCAAATCATTAATGGTAGAAGAAGGTTATTTCCGATTCATTTTTGAGCCAATAAGTGATTTTCATTACTTTTCCCTCTTTCCTCCTTTCTCACGTTTCCCTTTTTTTACCCCAAGGGAGGGCAACTGCCCCTGCCTCCGCCCCCTTTTGATACCAAGAACAGATGCCAGTAAAGTGACTTCTGAGAGAATTGCATGTGTTCTAGTTTGTAGAAAATGAACCTTTAAACAACAGCTAGAGCAATAAGCTATGCTCTTTTTTCCAGAGGATTTCACTGATTGAAAACGAAAATTCACTGAAATTGCTGTGGACGAATAAGCCAGAGTTTGTGCTCACCTGTGCTTCGGATACCATAATGGGCGAGGCAAAGACATTCCAGGTGACGATCTCAAAGCAAGGCGGCGTGGTCAGGGAACCACTGTAGCGGTAGAACGTTGACAGGTCACTTGGGAGGAAGCTCTTGAAGACAATAGGTGATGAGAGGGGAACTACGTCATCTGTGATATAAGAGCATCGTCCACTGACATTGGGCTGGCCCTCGACGCCCCTCAATTCTTTGTTTAAATGCCAGTATTAATGTACCAAAGGATGAACACAATCTTCACCATAGGGAGATCCAGAAGGGGTTGTGCACATCCAACACGCCCTCCATCCTTTTGTCAGTAAGACATACATGTATAGTCGTTTCCCTATTTTCTTCTGCTCTTAAGACACAACTTATGATGACATTTTTCGTACATGTTAAGCTTCTCCTCCATTTGGGAGTGCCACCCTAAATGCAGGGTGCCTGCCTTTTTAAAAAAAGATACTTGAGCACTATGAAAGGCAAATCTAAATTTAAAGTTAATTTTGTTAAATTAAGTTAATTTAAAGTTGTCAAAGGGAACCACTGTCACTACGTGCTTGCATGTTTCCAACTTCCTTAGAAGTTCCCGTGTTGATTTAGCATTTTTATGACTGGTCTTAGTTACTACAATGACTTACCCTCAAACTGGATCACGGAGATGGAATCAAACAGTGATGCAAGAGCTGGATTGTCCTCTGCATGAACCTGGTGGGGGGAACTCGATGATTTGTCACCAATTTTTAATTTAAATTTTGTGATAGAAAACATGGGCATAGGCAGAATTTCTATTTTGGATGAGATGTGTGAAGACTTTTTCTGGGCAGAGGGGGGGTGGCAAAACTCACAAACTGATGACCCGTGGAAGGGGTCAACTGCCAGGTATTTTCTAGTAAATTAGGGTACACATTATTTTCATATCTACAGCTTATTGCTTTTCTTTTCTGTTTTTTCTTCTTTCCTCTTTGTTTTCAAGGTCTGAGCAAGTGCCGCCCCCCGTCCCTCCCCTTGCAAAGACAAGTCCAAGGTGATAAAATATCCTGCACTCCTATCAACAGGAAACAGACCTATGGTTCTACATACTTCGGCACAAGTTGTGCATGCATGCATGATGAATATTCATGAAAAGCCGTTGAAACCTTTTAGGCAATGATGTATTTTTGAGTGATCTCAAAAATAGCATAATGGCATTGAAGCAGTTTACCCATATTTGATTGAACTGTGACTGAAAAAGGCCTTCCGCTGTCCTTCTGTAGTACTGTCACTTGAAAAGCGATTACACCTGATTTATTAGGTTTGTACAACTTGCGTTGTCCACACGCTTTAAATGTACTTTTCCATCAACCCCCTTGACCAGGCTAAAGGCCAGTTCATACCTGGCACGACATCAAACACAAACACAGTAGTGGGGGGGGACTGTTTTGGTACAGTTTGACCTTTGTGACAAAATGGCAAAAGGTCACATTAATATTCATAAGTATAATAATATGATATTGATATGAAAAGTTTTCATTTGGAAAGTTTGATGAGATTTTGAAAGGGGAAGAGAGAGCGCTGGGACAAATATGAAGAGATCTTACATTTAGGAAGAATCCCAGGACCGTCAGACCATCTGCATCGTTCAAAGCAGTGAGGAAATTCTCATATTTTGTCTTGTAACAAACAATGTGCAACTGGGGAGAAATGGAAAAAGACATAAAAAAAAAGAAATATATCGCAATGTATAAAGCAACACACTCATCCAAAAAGCTAAAAAGATTTACATGGCTGACTAAAGAACCATTTCAGATTTCTGATTTGACTAGTAAGCAAGTATGACACTGGTGCCACCGTGACTTCTTGTTTTGTGAGAGCAACCGGCCATCAACTGATAAAATGATTGATCAAGTCAAATTCTTGAAACAATTAACAAAATACAACTAAACAAACTTGAAAAACGTTTCTGCCACCCAAATTACACCACATTGTAACATTTTTGAGGTGTCTGCCTCATACATCAACAGATGTCTGAACGCGACCGGTGTTGATGGTAAATCTGTCCTCCGGTAACACTGTCCGGGGAGACATATTTACCTAGGTAAAACTGTCCCCCCCGCCCTGTAAATCTGTCCCCCTCCAGTTTACTCTACCCCCTCCAGGTAATATTGTCCCCCCTCGTTTTGCTAAACAGAAGTTGTTATTTTCGTGTTAGATTGATGAATTAAGTCCACGTGAAATACGGTGAAGGGGGGTATGAGATTTAAAATAAACTGAGCTATGTTTTTGCAAGAAATCGAATAAGGGAGCAATCCGTATTCTGCAGACTTCTTGCACGCGTAGTAATTTTCAGTCTCGCGGCGCGGTGTAGGTCTGACTTGTCGAGGAAGGTAAACGACCGCTCGACTCTCGCCACGCTACAGCCCGCGAACATTGTCGAAAGTAGTTCGGTTAAAAGCGTCCACGGACGGTTTAAGCCATGGCCGATAGCCCTCAAGCACAGCGAGCAAAGTTAGACAATTACAACGTGTACGCACGATTCGGTCGCTATCAATACTGCGCTCACGGAAGCCCCCTTATCCAATCGCCGTGTTTTGACTCAAGGAGCATTCCAGAAAAGCACGGTGTCTGTCGATACGTCGCGCGAAAACGGTTGAAATCAGGGTCTGGGTGATAGACTTGTGACGTTGCACGCGCACGGGGACACATTTCTAGGGGGGCAGTTTTACCTTTTACACCGGAATCATTGCTGTTGTGGGAACACAAAGGTACATGGTATGTGCACACAGAGATTATGTTCGCAATATAGGAGAATTAGAATTTCCAAAGAATTTGGGACGAGTCTGTCTGGGTGGAGTTCTGAAGGAGAGCCTTGAAACTGTGGTGTGGAGGAAAACAGGCACATAGATACATGTAAATTTACCTCCCCTGCATAGGCCTTCCCATCTACGGTGTGCTCCGAGCCTCGAGAGTTCACACTGCCCCAATGGAAGTGAAACTGCGCAACTTTGTAAGCCGTTGGCCCCAGTCCAGCTCCGCTTACGAGATAATCTCCCGTCATGACCACTTCCACTGAAGGATGCAAACGAAATCAATCCAAAATCAAAATCATCTGCTCCTATTTATTTAATTATATTAAATATTTATTTAATTACGGTCCGTATCTGAAGCTACCTCAAGAGTCACCACAGCCCTCTCTCCAACCAGCATCCACACGTTCCATGTGCATTTCTTTATGGTATTCCTCAAATGGAAATCTTTAAAGACCTATTAAAACCAGGGACACCATGCACGTGCCCAGAAATCTCCGATTTCAAACATTTGGCCAATTTCCATTTTCAAGGCAAAGCCAATCCAAATTTGCATTGCTGCAGAAATGAACACAGGAGTAATTGGCCCGTTCCAAAGCAGCTATTGCACAGTTCTTCTCCCTGAAGTATTGGGTAAAAGCCTTGTTTTCAAAAGTCTCCTGCCTAGGAAGAATAGCAAACATGAACAATGCATCTTCACCAATTGCACCCCCCCGTGCTGGCATGAAGCAAACAGAGTTGAGAAGGGATTTACACAATTTAATAAAAACTAAACTGCGATATGATTGGTGCCAAAATAGCCACATTGGTTTAGTTTAACTGTCACATGAAATTCAACGTAGTAGGTATTTGCTGGGAGCGACAGGCAATGCCTTAATTTAAACTGAAGAAACAACTTAATTAGTTATAAGTTATTCAGGTTTTAAAGTTTTCAAGTAAGACTGAAGATTTTAATTATCGTTGTTTAAAGGCAAGTTTCTGGGGCAAGCGTGCCCCTGTTTCACAGCAAGTGTGTCAAAACGTTGTTTGCTTCAAATTAAAGGAAAACAAAAATAAATAGGTGGCTCAAAGAACCATTCCAAGAAAACCAACAGAACACTTGTGGTTATGCATTTTTCTAATGTGTTGTCAGAGAATAAGTACATTTATTTTTCAATTTCTATATCAGTCTCAAGAAATATTTCTGTGAGTTGAGCACTGTGATTTCATAATGCATGCATTTCTTAGTACAGTTAGTTAAGGATTTTTGCGGTTACACCATGTACAATATTCTCTTTTATGAGTATGTGTGGTTCTGAGAAGAACCGGTTCTTAGTATTTCTTAGTAAAGCTTGTGGTGTACGCGTGTTTGGTGTGATATTATTTCTGGTAATAAATACGCGTAGTTTGGCCAGCTGGCCACAACTGAGAATGAATATATCAAAATCAATACTTACCTACATGGCCGTTGTTCACCACCCTCATTGATGCATTGACTGGTATGTCGTCTGCTCCAAAGCCAACCAAGGTGAAGTCGCCCAAGTCATTGGCCACGGCACTGGCAGTTACAATGTCAATTGGAGACTGTTTTATACCGCCGCACTCTGAATTAATTGCTGTCCAATTATTGGGCCCTTTAAGTCAAAGGAAAAAGGCTGTGGGTGAAAACAAGTCGGATAATGCTCAAAATAAGTGTTCCCAATAAATACAACAAATTCGGCTGACCTAAACGTCTATTGAATCTCATCAAAGATCTCCTTCCGTGATTCAGAAAGCCATCATTTTAAATCCAAATTTGTATTTTTCCAATATGCATTTGCTTTACTGATAGCTGTTTCGGCAAACATATTGCCGTATTCAGAATGAAAATTCCATTCTTACCTTTTTCATTATCTAGGTAGCCCCAACTAGCTGAAGATGAAAACAAAAAAAAATAACGTTACCCAGGTGATTGAAGTCTTCTTTTTTCATCTCATTAATTCTGTATTCTGAGCACAAACAATATCTTAAAAGTTTTTTTCACAGATAAAACTGCATGCAAGAAAATTAAATGTGATTTTATCGGGAGTTTTGAGGCAATTCGTTTCAGGAAACTGACAGACTTACCAGCTTGCACATCCGACAGAAATACAAGGAGCATGCATACAATAGTAGACATGCAAGTCACATCTCTTACTCTTAAAATCCAAAGCCCCATTTTGATGAAATTCTAACCTCCGTTAGCCCTATGCACCTGAAGCTTAACGACAGCGATCTTCGAGCTGTATTCAACTCACGCCTACTATGACAGATAATTATTTTGATACATGCCAACCCTGTGTGCTAGCTTCAGCCAAAATGTGGTTGCCACAGATTACACATTGAGTATAATGCAAGTGTACGATACTATCGAGAACACTTTGACCTTGCTGCACCATGTTATCACAAAATGTCAACTTATTAATTTACTTATTTGACAAAAGGGCAACAACAAATAGTTAAACTTAATCAGTTCAACTACTATATGTTGGATTTTTTGGAGGGGGTTACAAATCAGTTCTTATCAACATATATCAAACAACCAAATTACAAAGATTGTTATGTTCGAAAAAAGTGAGCCTCCAAGAAGTGCGCACTTCTGTAAAGAACAGAACACTGACATGGTAACAGTGTAGATGTTTTACCAAGTTGCATTACAATGACTAGACTCTATGGTTGGTGGCCATTTTTCGTACTTGTCTACTAACAGCAAACTGTCCTGTATTTCTGCTAATCAGCGTCTCTGCAGCGTTGAAGTCGAGTACTTCAAAAAGTACAAAGCTCACTGCCAAGTAGTGGGCTGGTTGGGGATAACAAACTGAAGTCCGTGGGCTTTGGATGGTATCTGCAAAACGGTAAGACTACTAAAAAAATAATGAACTCAGACTATCACTGTTTACAATAAGAATTAAGTTAAATAACAAACGTACATGTACTTGAGAAAAACTCATTCATATCTTCCATACTGCCCTGTCGGTAGAATGAGGGAACAAGTTTGACTCCATTGTGCGTCGTGGCAGAGATGTCAATTTGTTTTTCTCTACGATGGGGAAGCGATCCGTATGTATATTTCAATCAGGCGCTGCAACTTTAGGATAATGATGAATTAGGAGACGGTGGCCCCGCACAAATTGAAATAAATTCAAAAGAAAGGTCAAGTTGTATTGTAGTCGTTCTAATACATAATATAGTGATCTAAGACGGTGTGGTTGGGAGCTCATTCCGTTAAAACATTCCAAACGCTATCTCCTTTTGCAACGACTGAATTTTAATGTTCCAGATGCAACAGATAAATAACCACCATTTACAGTTTTCAACCTTGAAGTTATCTATTAAAACGATTACCACAATTTTCCTGCCCATTTTCCCAAATAACAGATACAAGTTTTCTCAAAGTGACGCACAAGAGTCTCATCTGGACAAAAATCCTCCCTAAATCCTTCAATATAATACATGTATAACAGCCTTATGAATGCAGTAACTTCCACGATAGCGGACAACTGGATGGGTTAACTTCTTTCGCCAGATCAACGGGTAAGAAGCACATGCAGAGGTTGGACCGATGTTTAATACTAAGACCGCAGATCAACACTTTGCTGCTGTTTATATTGTTTATTCTTTACTAAAATCGACCCTAAATGACAGTGACCTTTACTGGTGGCATTACATGCATATGAATTACAGGCAGTTATACGTCTTGGTTACACATTATTGTAAATAATAAAGCATGAAACACGTAATAAAATACTAAAGAATAAATCAGGAAACTTGTCAATAATAAAATAATCAATCAGTTATCTACGATAAGCATGACATGCTCAACAAACACGTCAGTAAAAAAAAAGACAGACAGCTGATGTCACGAAACCACACCTCTGAGATCAGTTATATATGATGCTGATTACCGTCAACCATATAATACGAGGTGTAAGGAAGAACTGAATATGTCTCTGACCGCGATCCTTGCCCCCACCTGACGCGTTCTGAGCAACGCCAAAATTATGGTGTTCTATAGCCGCCAAAATTGCGTCGCGTCGTCCCGTCACCCCGACACCACGACGCGACGCTATGACAGCTCCGTCACGTCGTCCCGTCGCGTCGTGGCGTCACCTCTTTTCTCGTTACTTTTATGCTGTGTTGAATACATTTTGTCGTGCCGTCTTGGCGTCGCGTGGTGTTGTTTCTTGATGATGTCGCATCGTACCGTCCCGTCGTGCCGTCGTAGCGTCGCGTCGCCTGTCATTGTATGGTTTTTATGCAGTGTGGGTTAGGCCGTCACGTCCTGCCGTCGTGCTGTCGCGTCCTGATGTCCTGTCGTCGCGTCGAAATTATAGTGTCGTCGTCCGTCGTTTCGTGCCTGACTATTTCTAAAAATGCCTGGTGATTACTGAGGGCGTATGTCACAAGTCCTGGGAAAAAATTATTTGCGTGCATGTAGGGTTATACTTACTGATCTCCAATAAAAAGACTGGATAGGACATCGCGTCCATAAACGCGTCCCGCGTGTGCATATTTTCAGGAGGGTAAATAACCAGCGTTGCGAATTTAGTTACATGCACTTCCAAACGGAGATTTCAAAACTGCTGGTTGAGGCTATTGTACTTCAATCGTCAGATTTCGAAGAAAAAAACGGGATTCTGCCCCCGGAATGGATAAATATGGAAAGAATAATGGTTGAAGTGTGCGCAGAAGAGAATTGCCAGAGATCAATGGTAAAATCAAGTTTGGAAGACGGAGCAGCTTTTGACATGTGAGTCGCACATTCAGAAGGTTTCTGCACGCCTTGTGCTATAATGCTTGGGACCGTCTGAAATATTATTTATCGGCCAAAGTGGTTTTAAAAATTAAATGATTAATTTGGAAATTCAAGACTATGGCCAGAAGATCATTTCAATTTTATGGGGGTTAGCCACGTGAACTTTTTTTATTCACCTTTTCCCCAAGATACCCCCAAAGAGTAGTAAAACTGTGTACTCAGCTCTGAATGTAGCCGCCCGCCTCTCTCCAAAATAGGTCCACAATTTGGGGCTTTTTGTTAAAGAAATACCCCGAAGTGGAAACGATTAGTCCCAAATTCGTGATTTATAGAAATATTTCTATGTTCCCTCATGATTATGGCATGTGTTATTGTAAAATCCCCGTGGGATCATAAAATATTAATGAGCTCTCGCCCAGGAATACAACGATTAGATGGAATGCACCAATAGGGCCTACAAGATTTGATCATGAAAAATGAAAATTGCACTTGACTCTGTCTCTAAGGGCGCCTCCTATTTCTACCAGTATGAGGCGACGTCGAGAGCACATTGCGACGGCACGACGCAACGGCACGATGAGACTACACGACGCGACGGCTGAAGGCAACGACGCATGAGGTCGACGGCACAACGCAACGGTACGACGCGACACCACGACGGCACAACGTAATACATTATACGCAGTATAAAATTAATGAAAAAGGAGGCGACGCCACGACGCAACAGCAGGACGCGACAGAGCTGTCGCAGCGTCGCGTCGTGGCTCTGAGTTTGGCTTGTCTTAAATATCACTTATTTACCAGATCATAAAATATTGATGCTGAAAATGCCCAAACCGAAGGCGAGGGAATTTAATGTCCATTCTCCAGGGCCAGCCTCAAATAACTGGGTAAGTACAATATTGAATTATATTCATTCTCAAATAACTAGGAAAGTACATTATTGAATTCTATTCCCAAATACCACCTTTTAAGTCGTAAAGTCACAACAAGTTTTAAACATTATAAATTTCCAATGATTTTGTTCAAGAATTTCACTTCACTTTTTTTGAAAACCCCTCTGGGTTTTACGGAATGTTCTTCTCATAAAAAAGTCCTAAGCAGTTTCCTTATTTGGAGACTGGCACTCACTTTGTGCACTCTTCATGGACACAGCCAATCGGTGCTTTATCTGCAATGAGTTACCCTGGTACTCCAACAGCGCATGCCCAAAATGAAGCGCGTCCGAGGTCTTTCACATGCGCGTGAGGTCCGCCTATCTGCACGGCTCTACACAAACTCGCTTTGTTCCTGAATGACTTTGCTGTTTTGAAAAACTGAACTGGCTCATTATTTAAATTTAAGAGCAGCCAAGTGACATACTCTCGACCAATAGGAATGGCTAAATTGTCTTAGATGTTTATGAATAATATTTATTCCTAAAATTCTAAATGATGCAAAACAAGTAATCAACACCTGCCACGCTAAGATCTAAGGTTCAGTCATGTGTAAAGGTATAAATGCAGAAAAAGACTGAATCAGACTTGGCGAATTATTCCATTGCCGAAACCATCACCTTAGCAATAACCATGGCGACAAGCCAGAACGCAAACAAGCCTGGTGCAGACGAAGTAGGGTTCATGGTTGCAAACAGGCCTGGTGCAGAGGAAGTAGCGTTCATGGTTGCCACCAAGCCTGGTACAGAGGAAGTAGGGTTCATGGTTTCGGTGGATGCGCTCACTTTCGTGTTAACATAGACGGTGCGATTACTGACAGACTGGACAGGACGAAAGGTGTCTCTCAGGGTGATGTTGACCGATGCATCAGGTTTGTTGGCATACTGTCCACGCAATGCCATTAGCTGCAAGTGCCAATTATAAGAACAAATAACATGAAACTGGATATACTGCGAGCTAAAAACGTCTAATTTTTCACACTTTGTGTGATTAAGATCCTCAAAAGTGGTGTGTTCAACAAAGCCTGTTTGCTTGGTACATAAAAAGTTTTCTCAATAGGTTAATCTTCATGTACTTGTCAATATACTTAAAGGATCAAATTGGGCTGTTCAGTTGTCCATGCAAGTCCCAATAATTGATTGATTTAGTTTGCATCTAGGATTATTTATAGGGGTGACATTGCCAAGGAAATGTAGGCAGATGTGAAGTGTTAGATCTTGGCAACTCAAAATTTCCAAAAAGAGTCAGTAAGTAAACTATATAGGTTTGCGGTAGCAGCATGGGTATCTCTTTTTGGGCATGTGGGGTTCTGAAAAGAACCGGTGGTACTCAACGTTTCGGAGAGTATTCTCGAGTTGTCTGCCATTAGGAGACGCCAGAGGGTCCAGTGATGAAGCAGTGTATACAGTGCGTAGAGGGCATTGAGGCGTGGTAGAATCAGTAAGCATGTGCAGTGCTAGGAAATTTGGGTTACTTTTTTTGGGGGGGGTTAAGGAGGTTAAAGCCACCAACGGTGGAAGTAGGGGGCCAGTGCCCCCCTCACTTTTTCCACTGGGGGTATGCCCCCCACACACTTTTTGCAGGGCCTATAATGGGGCTCGGCTTAATGGATCAGCCTATGGCTGATGCCTGTCGGTATCACAACTGGTCCTCCCACTTTGAAAAGTGTTCCGCCAATGGTGGTTAAAACACTCAGCAGCAGCAAAGAGGTAAATCATGGAAAGATATTTCATTACCCTCTTCCCCCTGCCCATTCGACACCCATAACAGATGCCTGTAAAGTAACTTACCAGAGAAATGCATGAGTTCTGTGTAGCGTAAAAAAGCTAGATCAATTAGCTGTGCTCTTTTTTTCCCGAAGATTTCACTGATTGGAAACAAAAAATCACTGAAATTGCTGTGCACGAAAAAGCCAGAGTTTGTTCTCACCTGTGCTTCGGATACCATAATGGGCGAGGCGAAGACATTCCAGGTGACGATCTCGTAACAGGGGGGCGAGGTCAGGGAACCAATGTAGCGGTAGAACGTTGACAGGTCACTTGGGAGGAAGCTCTTGAAGACGATGGGTGACGAGAAGGGAACCATCTCATCTGCAACATAAGAGCATCATCTACTGATTTTTTTATCTTGACACCTAGTTGGCCTCTGATTTTCCTAAAGTCTTTGTTGAAATGCCAGGATAACGTGCCCAAAGGCTGGATGCATCACTTGTTATGCAGAAGACTAGATCCAGAGGGGGCGTATGTACATCCAGCATGCCTTCCATCCTTTTTTCAATGAGACGTACATGTATAGTCCTTCCCCTATTTTCCTCTGCTCTTAAGTGGTTACTTAAGACACATTACGACAACAAATGTGTCGTTCTTGTATATTTTTAGCCTCACCTCCTTTTTGTAGTGCAGCCCTTTTGTAAAGGCAGGATGCCTGCCTTTTTTTAAGAATGCTGGACCACTATGAAAGGCAAATACACTTTTAGTAACCAAAAGAAATCTAATTTTAAAGTTTAAGTTTGAAAAACCTTGTCAAAGGGAACCACTGTCAACATCTACCCCAAGTTCCCAGCCCCCTCAGAATTTTCCGTGTTGATTTAGCATTTTTGTGAATGGTATTATTTACCACACTGACGTACCCTTAAACTGGATCATAGATGAGATGGCATCAAATAGTGATGCAAGAGCTGGGTTGTCCTCTCCATGAACCTGGGGGGGAGGAACTTGGCAATATGTAACCACTTTTTAATTTAATCTTGTCATAAAAAATAATGGGCATTGGGAGATTTGGGGGGATGGAGGAAGACTTTTTCTAGGCAAAGGGAGAGAAAAGATTAGGGAAGGGATCAACCGCCAGGAATGTTCTAGTAAATTGGGCCATTTTATTCCCTTTTCTCCTTCTTTTTCATTGTTTATTGCTCTCTCGTTTTCTTCTTTCCCTTCTTTTTTGCAAGGTTTGTTCAAGTACCCCCTCACGTCCCGCCACTGGCAAAGACCAGTCCAAGGTAATCAACTACCCTGCATCCTGTTAGCATAAACAGACCTATGGTCTTACACATAACAGCACAAGTTGTGGCATGATGAATATACATGAAATTCATTAAACCCTTAGCCAATGATGAGCAGGCGCAAACTTTGTTGAGCAGGATAGCAGAATGGAGTTTAAGCAACTGACCAATGTTTGATTGAGCTGTAACTGAAGACCATTGGTTGTCCTTTAATCCGTGCCACTTGCCTGTCACTTGCAAACCGATTACTTCTAATAAACTAAATTACAATTTGCACTGTGTATGTGCTATGTACAGGCCTATACCGGGTACCCGCCGTCCATATCAAAAGCCAGGTATCCATAAGAAAAAATTCCATGTGTAATTGGATGTAAACTGTAACAGCGAAGAGCAGAAAAATCATCGTGCCACTGAAAAACCTGGTCCCGCGTTCATAACTCCAATTCAAGATTGCCGGAGCTACTTTTGTTACAAATTAAAGGTGACACTTCGTTTAATAAAAAGGTGGGAGAGATTCCCCTCTAACGTTTAGAAAAATGTGCTGCTTCCTATGTATGAAAACAGAGCCCCGTTTCGGGCACATGGTCCACTGGGACTGTGCGCATTGCCATTTGTTAATTTTTCTTCACATTTGAAGGGTACCTAGGTACCCAGTACTGACACAAAACGAGTACCCGGTTCCAAAAATACCGGTAAACACACACCCCTCCATGACCACACTTAATGGTTGTTTGTACAAAATTGTGGGAGTTGGATCAAATGCCCATGCTGCAAATCCCTGTAAGTTTTGAGATGTCAAATTCACTTCACTTAGGCACTTGCCTGAAATGTGAACCAGCTTTAAGAGCACAGCACATGCTGAAATTATAAATATTCATAATGAAGCACAGAAACTTTCCAGCCAACGAGTTTGCACTATGTTGCCTATCTCAGGGTACTAATTAGGCAGGCATCATAATTTTGCTGACAAGTACCGGTACAACTTCAAAATAGGGCAATTGTTATAGTTTTTATTTACCCGTATTTGTTATAAGAGGCAAATACCCAGATTTTGGCTACGTGATAAATTCCACTTTAGAAGAGACGTGACAACTTCCAAATACTTTGCACCGCATGGTACACGGCTATAACTGAAAAAGTAACAAATGATGGTGGATAGTTTAGGGCAGCTTTGAGTACAATTCCCTAAGTCTAGATATGTCTAGCTTACTGAACGTTCCACCAGCCATTCATCTCCACGGACACAATGATCAAACAAAAAACCTGTTCTTACCAGTTGACCGGATATGACTCCCCGCTTAGAAATTTCCACTACACAAATACCAGCAAATAGTTCAAGGATTCTGGTAAATAGTGGTGAAGTCTGGCTTCGGCCAGTTGCAATGCACTGATGGAAACAAATCTCCCCCCTCCACTCCAAATGCACAGTATCTTTGATGTAAGTCACAAGTTCATCAAAAAAATTGGGGATTATACCCTTTCCAGTGTTTTTACCCTTCTTAGACTTATACGTCAGAATGCACATCACATATACTAAAAATCAGAAGTATAATGATTTCAGAATTTTCAGATTTCAGGTGAAGTACCAGCATCTCTGTTTTTCATTATGATACTTTTTAAAATTTTCAGGCATGATTGTCACTGCAACAATCAGAATGACTGGATTCCACACATTTGCACGGCAATGTTAGATCTTTCTGCAGTTTCAACCACCACTGTGCACGTTAATCTGTGAATCAAACTCTACATAAATCATGACACAAACGTTTTTGATTGGCTAGTCTGATGAGATCCTCAAGTTGAAGGGGAAGAGAAAGCACTGGGACAAAATGAAGAGATCTTACATCTAAGAAGAATCCCAGGACCGTCAGACCATCTGAACTGTTCAAAGCAGTGAAGAAATCCTCATATTTTGTATTGTAACAAACGATATGCAACTGTGGGAAAAGTGAAAAAAATTATACCCCAAATATTGAATTACTTCTCAATGTAGAAAGCCACACACTCATCCCAAAAGGATTTAATATGTGGCTGATTAAAGGACCATTTCAGCTTTGACTTGTTAGCACGTATGACACTTCTACCACAAGTGAACTTCCTTTTTTGTACAAGCAACCAACTGATGAAATGATTGATCAAGTCAAATTGTTAAAACAATTCACAAAAGACAACTAACCAAACTTGAAAAAAACATTTTGCCGCCAAAATTACACCGCACTGTATTACTTTTCACCTGTCTACCACATATAAAAAATAGTAAGGCCAAAATACGCATCTCTAGCTGGTACATATGTATGTGTTTATATCCTTCACAGAACTGCCTTGAAAAACTTCACACCCAAACCCTACAACAACTGTGACTGCTTATTAGACCATTATGTCTGAATGCAGTTGGAATCATTGTTGTAGTTGGAACACAGACACAAAGGTACACAAAGGGTTTTATATTCGCACAATGTGCTTGACGGAGAATTGGAATTTCCAAGCAATTAGTGATGAGTCTGTCTGGGTCGAGTTCTCAAGGACAGCCTGGAAAATGTGGTGTGGGAAAAAATGCTGATAGACACATGCAAGTTTACCTCCGCCGCATAGGCCTTCCCATCTACGGTGTGCTCTGAGCCTCGAGAGTTCACACTGCCCCAATGGAAGTGAAACTGCACAGCTTTGTAGGCTGTTGGCCCCAGTCCAGCTCCGCTTACGAGATAATCTCCCGTCATGGCCACTTCAACTGAAGTGTGCAAATCAAAATCAATCCAAAATGAAACTCAATTCCTCCTATTAACTATATTGTCCACAGGGTCCGTGACTAGCACAAGCTGAATGCCCAGCTACCATAACTCCTTCCCCAACCACAACCCACACATTCCATGTACATCTCTTTATGGTGTATCTTTCATATGGCAATCTATCAACAACAAATATACTTTAAATCCTTAAACAAACAAGAGACAATAAGCACATACCCATGAAGTACCAAGGAAAACTGCAATTTCAAAAATAAAGCCAATTTCCAATTTCAACAAAAGGCCAATCCATATTTGGCATAGCTGCAAAAAAGACCACCAGGGAGTTATACTATTAGCAACCATTCATTGCAAAATTCTAAACTACTGGAAGAATCTGTTTCTTCAAGAACTTTCTATTTCAGAGAGGCATACATGAATGGCACAATCATTTCCATTCTAAAACAAGTACATTTGAACACACAAAATAGAAAATTTGCCAGACATGTTAGAAATTATCAGAAACTTTCTCAAATTTCAGCCAGAATCACTCGATCCCCGAAAAGCCTTATTCTTTTTTTATCGGCAATTTAACACACGAAATTCTCTCCAGTTGATTAAAATTCCCTCTTGTACATATGTACATATGTTTTTAAATTTCTGTATCAGTTTTAAGAAATATTTTGTGTGTGTTGAGTAAAGTCTTTTTTAAAATGCATATTTCATAGTGCAACTGGTGGTGAACGCGTGTTTGGTGCAGGCCTAATATAATTTTTGGTATTATACAAAATGAATACACGGCGTTTGGCCAGCTGGTCGCAACTCAGATGTATAAAATAAATATATCAATATCAATACTTACCTACATGGCCATTGTTCGACACGATCATTGCTGCATTGACTGGTACGTCATCTGCTTCAAAGCCAACCAAGGTGAAGTCGCCCAAGTCATTGGCCTCAGCACTGGCAGTTACAATGTCAATAGGAGACTGTTTTATACCACCGCACTCACCATAAATTGCTGTCCAATTATTGGGCCCTTTAAGTTGAAGGAAAAAAGGCTATGTGTGAAAACAAGTTCGCTATTACTCAAAAAAAGTATTCATAGTGCGTACAACAAATCCAGCTGACATACATGTGAATAACTGTCTATTGAATCTCAGAGATCTCAATCCATGATTCAGAAAGCCATCATTTCAAATCTAAATTTGCATTTTTCCAATATGCATTTGCTTTCTTAAAAGTTGTCTCCGCTAATGTATTGCCTGATTCAGAATAAAAATTCCATTCTTACCTTTTTCATCATCTAGGTAACCCCAACTAGCTGAAGATAAAAAACAAAAAATAATGTTAGCAAGGTGAACGAAGCCTTCTTTTTCATCTTACTGATTCTGTAATTTGTACACAAACAATATCCTAAAAGTTTTTTTTTTCACAGACAAAATTGTATGCAAGAAAATAAAATGTGATTTTATTGGGAGTTTTGAAGGCAAAGTTGTTTCAGGAAACTGACAGACTTACCAGCTTGCACATCCAACAAGAATGCAAGAAGCATGCATACCACAGTAGACGTGCAAGTCACATCTTACTCTCAAACCATAAGCCCATTTCGATGAAATTACAACCTCCATTAGCCCTACACACCTGAAGCTGTATCAACTCACTCCTACTGTAAGAAATAATCATTTCGATACATGCTAACGCTGTATGCTAGCTTCAGCCAACATGTGGTTGCCACAGATTACACATTGAGTTCTATGCAAGTGTAAGAGACTATCGAAAACACTTTGACCTCGCTGCACCATGTTATCACAAAATGCCAACTTATTAATTCATTCATTTGACAAAGGGGCAACAAAAAATAGTTTAATTTAATCATTTCATCTACTATATATGTTTGATTTTTGGGGGGGTACAAATCATTACTTATCAACATATGAAACACGCAATTTACAAGATTGTTATGTTCGAAAAATGTGAGCTTCCAAGAAATGCGCACTTCCAGGAAAAACCAAACACTGATACAGTAAATGATCTTTTGCTAAGTTGCATTACGATGACTAGATTATATGGTTGGTTTCCACTTTTCTTAGTCGTTCACTAACAGCAAACTGTCCTACATTTCTGCCTATCATCGTCTCTGCAGTGTTGAAATCGAGTACTTTTCAAGTACATAGTTCACTGCCAAATACTGAACTGGTTGGAAGAGAACAAACTGAAGTACATGGGCTTTGGATGGTAACTGCACAAAGGTAAGATTACTAAACAAAATGATGACTTCAGGCAATCACTGTTTACGATTATTAAGTTTCATATCAAAAGTACTTGAAAGAACTCGGCCCAGCGCTTTTCAAGTACTTGTATCCTTAAGACTTAATATTCACGGGACTTTGGGTGTCTGAAGCCGTACATTTATTGTGCAATCTTACCTTAGAGCATTTTCCATCTAATGTCCATTGTTCTCCAGCTTTTTCCCACCTAATTAACCAGTTCAATATTTGCAAGTGAACTAGGCTCTTACAGAAATACTTGACGGCAACCCCGTTTCTCTGTGAATTTCATTGTCTCCTCCATGCAATTCACTTGTTTGGTACTTCAAATCTCTCCCACCTTGAACAGTGTATTTTCATTTTTGTAAAAGACTCATGAAACCAGGCCTCCCTGGCAACCCCCCCCCCCCAATTCAGAGAGTTCAAAAATTGTCTTTCATAAAGTACCTTGAACCTAACACACCCTGTGAAAATTACATGCCAGCAATACCCAGTCTAAAGTACATATACGTATTTTTTTCTAATGCCTGGAGAGGAATGTGCAGACAATGAGACTCAGACTTTGTCTTAATGGTTGATTTCACAAGTCCAGCATCAACACTGGGACATGAAATCTGCTTTCTGACTTACAGTGACGCACTAGCATCAGACAAATGTCCACAGTTGAAAAGAAAACGGTGCGTTCCCAAGCAAAAGCAATCTTTGAATGGACTATAAATGTCAACTCCTCACATGATGAGTACGTTCTAGTTGGTGGATTTTCATTATGTACACACTTTCGGAGTTCAAGAGCTTTTGTACGTTTGAAACTTTCTATTCTCACAATTACATATGGAAATGTAATGAAAAAAGGGAATTTTCAGAATTCATTCTTGGAAAACAACCTAAATAAATTAGAGGTATGATCGTAATATCTTAATACTGCATGTAACTTTGGAGTAAATCTGCAAGCATTTGACAGGTTTTAAAAGATCACGGTGCACCTGTTGTAAGCAGTACCTCAGATCAATGGAATTTCGTACTCTGTCTCGAGCATTTAGGTATGCTTTTATCCCCAAAGCTTCAGAAAATATGTGAAAACTGTATGAATTATATGTTCCTTGCTGATTCTAAATATTTATTTGAACCTCATACACTTCACCTCAATACAAGTTTAAAATAAGGAAATTGACAGCCTTAGGGTCTACATGAACACCAATGAATTTTACCGTAATTAAGTTCATATGACATGTGTGTGAAGCAGAATGCTTTTGTTCCCAAAATCTTTTTACAGACTGTAGACTGGGAGACAATTTTACTGACGAAAAGAACAAAAATATAACACAACATACAAGACTAACGGTAATTAACACTCATTGTTTACAAATTACGATACAATGTTTGCGATTAATTCAAAGCAAAATCAAAACACACTTTTTTGCAAAAAGGAAGGAACAAAAGAAAAGTGGTGAAGGCCACTTCATTGGCAAACAGTTCCACTACCCGAATGCATTTAAATCTAGCTAGTAATAATTCTATTACTAGTAATAATACTAGGTATTTCCAATGAAATATCAAAAGGAATGATATACATGTATCAAAAAGGTAAAAAAGCAGCATCCTTGTTATTGGGACTAAGCCTCTAGTGTTGAGAGAAAACTGGCAACCAAATCA